AAAGTGAGCCCAGCTCCTTTGACACTCAGCTTGTTCCAGGACATCAGACATGTGTCACTGAATCAGGTGTGGCTGCCCCTCAGTCTGAGAGAACCCTCCTAAGCCCCGCCCCACGACCTGTTCAGCAATACCAGCAAAAGCCCAGTGTGGCAGCAGAAAATACCAGTGGTATCAGTGGAGTCCAGTCCTCTCTCACTTCCATCAACTCCTTGCCCTCAGATGATGAGGGTGAAGTTTCCTCTAGGGGCCCCAGCGGAGCAGCAGTCAGAAGCAGTAAGTCCAGTGTTTTGGTGCAGGAGCAGAGTGTAGTCTTCTCTGGGGATGACGGTAACAGACCTGCCATTGACGTGGCCTGCACCCCTAACATGGCTGCAGGTGATTCCAAACTTATAAAACCTGCCTTTGAGGGAGCAGCTGGTTCTGGGGCTCAGAAGGAGTCTGGTAGTGAGCCCCAAACAACCTGCCCATCCAGTAACTCTGCCACCAGCAGCACTGACATAGTGAAGCGTGGGATGGTGGATAACTACTTTGGCTCACGCTCTAGCACAGATGTGTCTGAGATCAGCCCTTTAGAAACATCTGCCATCACACTGGGAATCCATGCAGGTCCAACGGTCCCGGATGACGAGGACGAACCAGAGCAAGACATGATTGAGAACGGTTACTACGAGGAAGGCGATGGCTATGCTTTTGTCAATGGTGTTGTGGATGAGGAGCAAAGTGCGGTCGGGGACGCAGCGGCTTCAGAAACGAGTCTTCTGTTTGAACAGCTTGGCATCGGCTACCCCCATGAAACAAAAGATTTATCAAAAGCTCCCATCTGCTCCAACCTAGCCTCCAGCAGTGTTGGCTACAGCTTGGCAAGACCTCCATGTCCCTCCACGTCCTCTTCCTCCAGCCTGCACTGGTATGAATGTGCACCCACACCACAGATGAAAGCGTGAGTATCCCTTTTTTTATCATATCACTTAATCGTGTACTTTATACTAATATTTTGTCCTATCTTGCTCATTATAGATAAATATTTATCGACTTTTTATTTTATGCAGGTTCATTAAGGCCAAGGAAGAAATGAAACAGCTGAGGCTGCCTGGCTTCTTGTACAGTGAAATACCTGAGCTGGCATCCACTGTGCCCTACTTTAGCTTGGAGGAAGATGAAAGCTGTGACGAAGGCATTCATCTTATAGTCTGTGTCCATGGCCTCGACGGTAGGAATCATTATTATTATTACTAAAAGTCCAGTAGGGTCTTGTTGTTTGTAAAACAACATTGATGTATTTGTGCTCCCTTGTCTTGCTGCAGGTAACAGTGCAGACCTCAGACTGGTGAAAACGTACCTGGAGCTTGGACTGCCTGGTGCTCGTATCGACTTCCTGATGTCAGAGAGGAACCAGGTGAGTAGAAGAGCATGCATGTTCTTTATGTTAAAGAACCAAATACAACCCAACATATTGTCTTTTATTTTAATTGAATTCTCTTTACTTCCACAGAATGACACTTTTGCTGATTTTGAGTCAATGACGGACCGATTGCTGGATGAAATAGTCCAGTACATTCAGATATATAACCTCACAGTGTCAAAGATAAGGTAAAATGTTCTGTCCTACCCAAATGGCCAAATGTAATGCATGGTTATCTTAAAAAAATCTATAATACTTAAGTAGCCGCATGATGTAGTAGCAGTCAGCTTTCTACTTGAGTGAAGTGTTCTCAACAACATAGGTACTAAATCTTTGAAAGAAAATGTGCTCGTTACCTTAGAAACCAGTAAAGCCTTTACTTAGATGGTGTCAAAGCCTCCTGTTTTTATAGAATGTAATCTCTGAAAGGGTGACAGATATGTATATAATTGTTGTTTGGTTTCATTATGGTCGTTCCTTATTCTTCACTTGCAGCTTTGTGGGCCATTCCTTGGGGACCCTCATTGTTCGCTCAGTGCTGACCAGGCCTCGGTTTAAATGTTACCTGAGCAGGCTGCACACCTTCCTCTCCCTCTCTGGACCTCACCTGGGCACACTGTACAACAGCTCTGCTCTGGTCAACACAGGTAAGAGATACAACGTATAGTTGAAGATGGCACATCTTATTAGTATCAGATATTTCACTCACATCTGTTTGTTCCTAGGCCTTTGGTTCATGCAGAAGTGGAAAAAGTCAGGGTCGCTCTTGCAGCTAACGTGCCGTGATAACTCTGACCCTCGCCAAACTTTCCTCTACAAGCTCAGCAAGAAATCTGGTTAGTTTTTCTTTTTTTTACATTTATAAAATGAGCAATGAAACATAGAGATAATTATTTTCTATCTATCTATCTGCTTTTGAAGGTTTGCAGTTTTTCAAAAATGTGGTGCTTGTGGGATCACTGCAGGATCGCTACGTCCCCTATCATTCTGCCCGAATAGAAATGTGCAAAACTGCAGTAAAGGACAAACAAACAGGTAAGATGGGAGCGACTGCATGAATCCAAAAACTAAAATTGTATAATGTCAATACAAAAGATCCAACAAGTGTGGCCCTTTTCAGCTTGTTTCACTCTTGTCCATTCCAGGTCCTGTGTATGCTGAGATGATTGAGAACCTGCTGCTGCCAGTACTCCAGAACAAAGACTGTAATCTAGTACGATTTGACGTCATTCATGCCCTGCCCAACACAGCCAATTCCCTGATCGGCCGGGCCGCCCACATTGCCGTCCTTGATTCTGAGATCTTCTTGGAGAAGTTCTTCCTTGTTGCAGGCCTCAAGTTCTTTCAGTAGAACGGTGGCTGAATCAAATATATTAGTGAAAGACAGGAATGTGGAGCTAATACCTCACTGCATCCAAACCTTTTTATGATTATCATATCTGGATTATTTCTCGGTTTCTAAATACATATAATCACTTTCAAATACATATGAGCAAAATCACAATTGATTTCATTTCATGTTGTTTATATCGGAATCATGGTGGATATGGACGTTTTTATTTTTCTACTGCCATCTTTTAAACATTGTTTTGTTTTTAGTGTTTGGGAAATTATTTCCCTCCCCCCATTATATGCTATATTTTCAGTGTTATTTATGTGTTATGTTCATGCGTTTTAATTATTTTTTCTTCAAGTAATTCGATTAATATTAGATGCTGAACTGGAAATGTAGCTGCTACAAAAATGAAATGGCTGTTTTTGGTGAGCTGGCCCAAGTCACGTCTGCACATACTGTCATTACTATTGCAAATGTTTCCCACCAATTTTAAGAGACACTGCAATGATTTGCACCACAACTACATTTTACAAGCTTTTGTACTAAAAAGGGTCATTTGTACAAGTTACTTTTTTTATAAACAATTTTCCATCATTTTGAATGGCAATGATTGCATTAGAAATAGGATCGTTGCTCAGATTTCACATCCTTCGCTTTGGTCTTAATACTTCATGCTGTCCTTTGCCATTGCAGCATTCTGCACAACATTAACCCAAACTGGTGTTGGGAGAATGAAGCGTTGTCTACAACATAACATTTTATTACAGGGGTTTTAAGCAGTGGTCATGATTCAGCAAAAGCACATGTTAATAATATGTACTTGTTTTAATGAAAGTATTTGCTTGGTATCATTTGGTGATTATGTGTTTAAACTGGAAAGTATTGCTTGGAATAAAAAATGTTTCTTGGAAAATTGTTTATATATCATACATCATTAAATATGCATATTATCAATTTGATTATATGACTGTTCTTTCTTTCCTATTTGTTACTCATGTTCACAGAGGTTTCCAATCACTTGTTAATACAATCTAATTTGACTTTCAAAGTATTCATGCAGTTTTAAAAAATAAAATGTAATTTTTGAGCTTTTATGATTGAATTAAGTCTCTTTTTGATTGCAAATATAGCAGTGATGGTGTATTCAGTTCTGTGTCTTCAGAGTGTGTGTGGTGGTGTGGTGCCATTTCTTCCAATTACTTTTTTTTAAGTGTCCCTTTAGTTCAGATTTATTTTTAAAATAATTGATCAAATGATCCTGCAGATGGCAGTGTCATCCCAGCAACTGCTCTTTTAAAAGACCTACAATAAATGTGTTGCTTAGAACCAGGTTAAATACATAAATGTTAGTGGTCGTACTGCATCAACTTGAAGTGTTATATTTATCAATGATGAATTCGATTATCAGTATGTGCTTTAGTAGTGTTCTACATATTGTAGGCCTGTGCATGATCTCAGGAATGTCTAATGTACCTTTTACTGTATATTTGACCCCTCTACCATGAAGGGGATTTTGAAGCCATTGTCCAATCTACTGATTGAAGACTTGTATCTTGTAAATACATTAACATGTGGAAATGTGACTGAAAGTAATAGATACGTAGATGTAGACCAAAAGATACACGATTGATGATTGTTTTCATAAGCTCATGAAGGATACACCACTTCTGCTAAGTCTTGTAAAAATATGTTTCCTACGGAATTTCAGTAAATACATACATATGACAAAATAAGCATTATTAATATGAGAAGAAACATTATTATATATTTTTATTCCAACATTATTATACTTTTGGTAACATAGAAAACGTCTGTTACCAAAATACAAAAAGATATATAAGGATACGCTAATTAGCAGCAGTTGTTTATTTGGAAAACCTTACTCGGCCAGTCGTCTCGACACTTGCTTGTACCCATGGATGTATATCGGCTTGGACCTTTATATACAGTCTATGGCTTGGACCCTTGGACCTCTAATTAGAACGAGATCATTTTACCAAAGCAAAACAAGGGGGACATATCTGTTTGGTACTACATTCAAATAAATATGTATATTAAATATATGTATTTAAAAATAGTCGTATGTTTTTAAATGAATATGCATGTGATAAAAAGAAACATTTCTTGAATTTAACATTAAAAAAACAGTCCCAACCATTTCAAAACATAACTCGTTCACAACAGTCACCCCCACAACAATTCAAAATGGTATGGCTCAATCGTTAGGACTTGACGGTGGTTGGAGAAGTTACAACACGCAATGGGGAGTGGGACGAACTGGTGTCCTCCTTACTTCTGTCATGTTTTTATTCGGATAAAAAAAGAAGATTGTGTGCTGAACAAGCATTGAGAAGACCTGCGACTGGTGTTTAAACTCCTTCTTCTCTTATAATGCAATGGTAAGTAACTCACGGCTTTATAGTTAGTTTAAAGAGTAGCCAGTCATTCACTTGTTGCCTTCGCGTTACCCCATCCATCCAAACAAATACACTCTGTCCTAAGAAAATGTGTCCACGATTATGGTTACTATTAACGTACTTTAGATTCTCCTGCTGCGTTTCTTATCAGAGTTGTCGTTAGCTCACGCACACAATAAATACATGTAATTAAAAAAAGCTAAACTACGCTGAAACTTTGACATAATTAGCGGCTAATGACACTGTTGCGTTCAATAACGTCAACGCCCGGTATGTAAATTACCTATCTGCCAGTTCATAACATGGGGACATCACATGCACGTTTAAATGCAGTTCTTCTGTACTCAACACGACGCAGAGTGTGTTTAAAAGTCTGATGTTGTAAAAGTTTTTACCTCTCAATAAATCATTGAACCCTTCTATAAATGTGCCTGTCATGGCTCTTGAGTCAAACCTAAGAAATGCACTGCTTCCCCCCCCCCCCCCCAAAAAAGGGGGCTCAAACTCACCCTATTGTTTTCAAGTAGGATGACTATAAATGGTGTTCCTCGTTTATTCAGATACGGGCTCTGAGGTTCACTTCAGAGAGAGTGCACAGGGGATGTTTTTCCAATAACCAGCAGTGTGCTCAGAAAGAGGGATTATGACAGTCTTGGAGGGGAATTAGGCATAGAGATAGCTGCTCTCATGTGATGCCAGGTTTCCCCTTTGGTCAGCAGTAAGGGGGATGTCAGCCATCACTGTATGGGCTGATGAGAGTAAACTTGTTTTGGAGGTGGGATGCACTGAAGATGTTTTTTTATGTACCTGATTGTACTCTGGATTTAAAGCAGATTAAGGTTGGTTCAGTTTATTAGTTACTCAGAACTGTTCATGCTTCACACCAGCTGTTTGACTCAAATAAAGCCAGCATGTTTTGATGTAATATAATGTTGACTGCTCCTATTGCCTGTTATTTGAAGAAAAACCTATGATTACCCTGTGTTAATTGGTCACGGATCATTTGTTGTAAATTCATTCCATATGATAATGTTTTTTTATTTGAATATCAGGGTCCATTTAAACTTATATTGTATCTTTTGTCATGTTTAATAGTTTTAAGAAAAGTTGGAACAAGAAAAACACGCACCATGCCCATTCAAATTCCAGAACAAAGCATATTTTCCCTGAACAAAATCTGTTTCTATTCTTCAGTCTTGTTGCTTCTCACACGAAGTGCTCATACATTTCTAACATAATATGCAACGTCTAATTCCAATATGTAATTAGTCAGAAAATAAAATATAGTGTTTTATCATATGTTTATCATCACGCCTTCCGATGTGTTGTTTAATGCATATGATAATGATGACTGAATATAAAACTTAAGTGTCCTAGAGGACTATTATATTAATGCATCAGTAATGATATATTTTTAGAATTAAAGCTTGCATTGTTGTATATTGACCAATAAGAGTAAAAAGCTACTACACCCTCATAGTGGGAATAACCTACATGAAAGAAGCACTCTCCAAAAAGTAGATTTATTGATCAAAATAATGCTTAAAATAGAATATTGTCTATGTGAAAATGTTCTTGCCAGTTGATTTTGAGTCAGTGTATTGACTGTGTAGTTTGACTCGTACACAAGTCAGATGTTAAAGCTACTGGAATTTCAGGTTTTTTTAAATGTCTGTTGCACTGACACAGATGTGAGCAAGTTTGAACACGTCCATAAATCATATTTGGTATGACAATTTGCTTGCTCTCCGAGCCAAGAATATATACTTTAATGTTTCCCTTTACCTATTTGTTCATTGGGAACATGTCTTTCAAATACTTCTTATTTTGAAATGCTCAATCAAAAAAGGCAGGCTTATTGCTAATGCTTTTTAACATAGTAAACATATGTGAATGCCAGGCTCCTGAAGAGTTAGGTGTAAACAGGTTCTTTGTCCAAGAATCTCTTAATGTGCTGGTTATTTCTTCTCTGTTAACTTTGAGGAGATTGGCTCAACAGTAGTCTGTTTCTGTTACGGTTCATTTGTCCCTTTTTGTCCCTTTGTAGTTTATTTTTTACTGGTTATCGTCAAGAGCGGGGTTTAAGGGGATCAGAGTCGGCGCGCGGCAGTAATTAACCTGATTAATTGATTCTGAGACGTTAATCAGATGAGCCTCGTACCAGTAGGGCTTCAGGTCAGCACGCTTCAGATGAGCATTGTTTGCGAGGAGTCTTTCCTACATGGCCATTTGTTTTGGTATGGTAAGTAGAAACTAAAATCACATAATTCCTTTTTTTTTTTACTTGGTGCTGCTTACAAGGTGTTGATGATAAGCTCATTAAATGTGCCCCTGCTTTTCAATAAAACCGTACTCTAGGATTAATATACTTTTAAGGTGAACCAACTTATGACATGTGTTGAATTCAGTTTTTGGATGATCTCATTGGAAGATTTTTGTGATCCTAAAACATTTGTAAAGAACAGCCATGTTGAGTTAAACTTTGTTGTTGGATAATAGGAGACAGCCACAGTTATTATATTGAATATGATTCAAGGAAGTGACAGTATGCTCATGCATATCCTCATTGTGTATTTGCAGAAGATTGCACGGCAAACCTTGATCTGTTTTAAATTCCATTCTGCTGTCTTCATCTTCATGTTTTTATTTAATTTCTTTACATATCTCACTCTGACGTCATCTATCTTTACAGATACAATATGGACAAACTGCCCTGGAACAGATAGACAGTGAAGTACAGAGGAAGATTGAGGTGGTTTAACACAGACAAAGCACTTATCACTACACACACAAGACGTCATGTCCACCCCGATAAGGCAGGAGAGAACCATTTGTGTTCTCCTCCCCAACAAGGAGCAGCTGGACATCACTGTCGGGGTGGGTGTTTTTAATATGTCTCTTGCTGTCATCTTTATCAATATGAGGTCTACAAGGTCAAACTTGTTAATCATTTCAGTGTTTTGCCTGCTCTAAAAAGTGCATATTAAATACTGTCTTCTTCATCTTTCCAGCCAAAATCCACTGGGCAGGATGTTTTTAATCGTGTGGCAGAGCTTCTTGGAATCAAGGAGCTGCACTTCTTTGGCCTCACAGTGGTGCAGGGTAAGTTCTCTCATAGACCGACCGTCCATCCTCTGAACCTGGAAGCACTATTCACACTAGATAACACGGCAGTATTGTCAGAAGACAAGTCAGTTTGTTGATCAGTTGATGCACATAGAGTTCCCGTGACACATTTCAGAAGTCATTCAGTTAGATGGGATCACAACAATGAATTACTAAGGGTCGGTAGTTTTAATGAGCCTTGTTTTTGTTATATTGTAGAAAATGTTTTCTGCCAAACAAGCTATTTCGCTTAAGCCAAAACATTTCACTTGCCCCTCCCAGTCTGCATAATTGAGTAATCCACTTGAGCAAAGTTCTGAACGTTTTGTTTTCTTGTATTTCTGTTCTCTTTCTCTCTACAAATACGCTAAAATGCCTCGGTAATCTTGTGTGGCTCAACGCTTGAACAAGCAGCCTTTTGTTTTTGTGGTGTTGGTTCACCGATCACTTAGTGCCTGGATTCCTGCGATATTAACTTCATTAAGCCTGGAATGCACCCTTGCATTCCTCTTCTTCACTGAGGGAAGGGACGGGTTGATGATGGGAAGAAGAGGGTGGGAGTGGAGGGAGAAGAGGCAGGGGGGCTCGTCATGACACAGGCCGCCTTACTCAACTTTTTCTCAAAGACTTCAATGAAGGATGAGAGGCGAGGGAGGAGGAGTGAGTCAGAGAGGGAACAGGCTGAAAGGAGAGATGGATAGTTAGAGTTGTGAAACAGCTATGCGAGCATGAGTTGGCTACACAAAGTTGAACAAAAGAGATAAGGTGGAACAAATAAGAAAATACTTATCTTATGACTCATAGGACCAGGCTGTGAGTGATACAACATACTCTTTCCCAGCACAGGGTGGCAAAAGGCTCTGAGCCCCTCTTCTGAAATAGTTGTTTTTGATATTTGTGGTTTTGCAGGATAGATAAAAACCTAAATATCACGATAAAAGCTAAGCTATGTTGAATGCATCTACCCATCCCAATACAGGTTTACAGATGAATAAACTAGCAAAGCTCCTGCATGCAGTGTTTTGTCTGTGCTGCCATGCTACCACTGAAATTAGAAAATGTATATATTAGCATTGTTGTCATTAGCTTCCCGGTAGCCTCATTCACAAAAGCAAGAGAATAAGGGCTTTTTTCTCTTTGCCCTAATGAATCCCATTGTTAGTCAGATTATACGCTTGGTTACATTTTTGTTTTGTGTGCTTGCTAACTGTCTGCTTGTTTCCTGATTGTCTTTCTCCATCCCAGACAATGAGCACATCTTTTTAGACATGGAGGAGAAGCTGACTAACTACTTTCCTAAGGATTGGAAGCAAGATTCAAGAAAGGTAAGACAGCCTGTCGGGTAGATACTTGCGAGTAAATTAGGAGCACTTTGCTGTGGCCCACTCTCTAAACTATTGTACACTTCAGTTTATTGGGAGGCACAGATCCGTGGCCTACATGCCACAACTTGTCATTTAGCATGACAAAAAGATGCCTTCTCTAACGCTTCTCTCTCTGTATACAGGGAATACAGAAGAGACCCTTTCCTCTAGTGCTGTGCCTCAAAGTGCAGTACTACATAGAAAACGGCAGACTCTTTTGGTAGGTCCTCTCCATATTTGTTCCATATATATCCCTCTTTGTCCTCTTTACTGACATCTTTGTTTCTTTCTTTCGGTGTGTGGTACCAGTGAGCGTAAGGCACGGCACCTTTACTACTCCGACTTGAGGGAGCGGGTGCTGCGCTCTGAGTGCCGTCAGCAGGAGGAAGTTTACTTCCAGCTGGCAGGGTACGCCCTGCAGGCTGACCTCGGTGACCATCCGCTGCCCAGGGAGGATCTGGAAAACACTCCTTACTTTGAACCCAAGGAATACTTTTCCCCTTGGGTAGGTGTTGACCGCAACAAAAGAGAAATACATTTAATCTAATTTATTATGTTTTCTTCTTGCCCTAATCCATGTCTGTCCCTTCTTCCTTCTTTAGATTTTAGCTAAGCGTGGAGTAAGCTATCTCCTCTGCCATGGGCCAAAGGTGCATCAGGAGCTGTGGGGCATGTCTTCTCGGGACGCCATGCTGCTCTTCATCAGGGAGTCCTGTCGACTGGAGGATGTACCCGTCACATTCTACAAACTGCAAAAGGTTGTGAGTCAATTTAGTTTTGTAAGAATTGTGAACTGGGTGGCTTGAATTGAGTATTTGAGGCACACACTGTACTGCAGCCTGTATTTATTTGCATATAAACAAAAAAGAATGGTGATTACACTGTTGGGTTTTTATCCACTGTCCATTCATTCTCTCTGACTGTAGTATTGTCTTTTCCAACACGTATACAGTTAGTATAGCGTCATTAGAGCTGTGCTGGACAAATGACTATACAGTAGGGGCAGTTATGTAACTCTCTATGTAATCCCTATATTGTCCTCCCCATTCCAAGATCACTCATCCACTGGGTGATATTTTGAAGGCTTGCCTATCCATTGCGTAATGTGCCATCACTTTTAATTTGTTGTTAGCAGCAGCCCAGTGTTTCCCAGTGAAGCAGGAGAGTGAAAAGCTCTCTTATCTGAACTGCTCACATGCCTGTCTGACATCTCATCATTCATGTATCCAGGACAAAAGGGCGGAGAAAGGAACGGCATTGCTCGGTCTGACCCTGCGAGGAATGCAGGTTTATCAGGTACGTGCATGTGCGAGTGTGTTATTGATGCACAGCCTATGCGTCAACACGTGCGTACATAGGGGGGAATCTGCGTTTGCTCAAAGATTCAGTCTTTGTAGCTGCAGCCCTATAAAACCTCTGACTAGACGTGTGAAGAATGTGTGGGATCGCCACCAACAGCAGAGCATCAGGAGATAGGAGCCGTCTGCCATGCCCGTCAGTTGTTTGATCTGTCCATCAGGGGCCATCTGGGGGGGATTAGGGCTCCAGGCCTGGCTGATTAAAGAGCCAGCAGACCGTGAGATACCTCGAGAAGCCCTTGGCCTCTCTGCCAAGTCCAGATGGCTCCTTTGAGAGAAAATATGATCATTGATCCAGTATTTTTAAATATATCCCAGTAGATTACACATCCAAAAGCCTCTTGTTACTAAAACATAAAGCTTACAAACCTTTAAGCTACTTATTAAATGGTGTGTTTGTATTCAAAGGAGGTGAACAACATGCGACAGCTGCTGTACGACTTCCCCTGGTCAAATGTTGGACGTCTCACCTTCCTGGTAAGCACACAGCTCATTTCCATTCTTTGTAAAGATTAGGTGGAAAATTGTAATTATTTAATGGGCATTAGCTATGTATGTATGTATAATATGTTGTGCCTTTTCAGGGTAAGAAATTTGAGATCCAGCCAGATGGTTTGCCCTCAGCCAGGAAGCTGGTTTACTTCACCGGGTCATCGTTCCGCTCCCGACACCTCCTCCTGCACCTGAGCAGCAGCCACCGCCTCTACCTCAGCCTCCAGCCGGCCCTCAAACACCTCCGCCAGCTGGAGGAGAACGAAGGTAGGGGAGAATACAACCACAAGATTAGTATTAGCAATAATTACAGTTTGGGTGGGGTCCAATTGTACTCGGCAGAACACTTCTGAGGCCACTGAAATTTAAAATGGATAACTTGTGAAATGTCCTTTTTCCAGTACAAAGAAATCCAGTTTGTTTTCTTCTTTAATTGGAATTGCAGCACAGTAGCCAGATCTCTTTTGCACAACGCTCAGATTTTTTTTTTTCTGTAGATTTGTTTTGCTGTAATTTTATCAAATCAAATCTTGCTTCATTGCAGATAAAAAGCGTTACAGAGAGTCCTACATCAGTGATGACCTGGACATGGACCCCCCCGGCAGTGAGAGCAGCCCTGGTCTGTCCCGGCACTCCACCAGCAGCTCTGGGATCGAAGCGGACGCCCGCCAACACAGCATCTCCCCAGAGATGGCCTCCATGGAGGAGGAGGGTCATCGGAAGGCAGAAAGGTGTTTCAGCTCAACAGCCAGCCACGGCAGCTCCTGCACCTCTGGGTTTGACGCAGGCTGTAAGCCTCGGATAGAGGATGAGGGATGGCAAGACGAAGGTGAGAGGAATGTTGTACTGAAACCTTGGTACAAAACATTGTCTGGAGTAAACTACTGCTTTGTTTGTTGAATGAAATGATCAGTTGCTACAGAAAAGCAGCTATTTGCAATTCTGATCTTTTATTTTCCTTTTGAAATTCCCTTTTTGACTACTTGTTTACTGTACAATATGAAAGTTTTAAATTATTGTTGTTCTCATTACTTGCTTGCTTTAACCATTAATATGAACTCATATGTACAAAGAAAAATTGTGCAAATTGAGCCTCACTAATGTGGATCAGGGACGCTGTTATTTATTATATGAATACATTTCTGAAGATTATACTCCAATAAGTAAAGTTGGTTTATCCGGTTTGTTTGCCTCTCTGAGACATCAGCTCAGTCTGTGCGTGTGTTGCCAGCCTTTCCATGCAGTTGGGATGAATGCGCTATTTTCACTCTGCAAAAAGAACTGAAACTGAGCATCTTGGTTCCCCTGCATCATTTTAAAGCACGGCTAGATGCAATGCAATATGATAATCTTGGTACCTGTCAATGTTGATAGGTTTGTAAATTGTACCCCTGTAATTATGTTGTATGATGTCCTTTTTGTTTTCTGTTGTTTTTCTGTTTTCATGTGTAACCAACTTTGCAGGTCTCCCTTGAAAAAGAGATCGTTTGATCTCAATGAGATTTTACCTGGTTAAATAAAGGCTACAAACAATGTGCTACACATCAAGTACCAGTTACTAGTATGGTGTAATATAACATACTGATGAAGAGATATGTTTTTTTAAATGTATCTCTACTTTATGAATGAATAGCTACTTGCAACTCTCTGTGAGATCAGAGAGCAGATGTAAGTTGGTAGTTTACCCAACATGGCTTTGTAGATGAACATGTACCAATGACTGAGCCTCCGTACAGTAAGTGAAGGCAAACCTGCCCTGGCAGTACTTTACAGTTTGTAACAAATCTCAGCGCACTGTGATAGGCGGCATCTAACTTGTTCAGGTAATGGGCAGGTGCATTCACATAGATAAGATCACCATAGTCCAGCACAGGTAAAAAGGTCACAGAGACTAGCATTTTCCTGGCTTCAAGCGAGAAACAGGACTTGTTTCTGAAAAAGAAACCTAGCTTCACCCTCAGCTTTCTAAGCAGATTATCGACCTGAAGTTTAAAAGAGAGACAATCATCAAGCCAGATACCAAGGTATTTATAACAGGTAACCACCTTGAGTACTTTTCCTTGCGTAGTAACAATATCCAAAGTGGTCTCCGGTGTCTTTTTGGCTTTTGAAAATAGTATTACCTTAGTTTTATCCACATTTAAAAGAAGCTTTAGTTCAGAGAGCTGCGTCTGAATAATATTAAAAACGGCCTGTAATTGAACACCAGCCTCCTTAATGGAGGGACCTGCACAGTACATCACGGTATCATCAGCATAAAAATGTAAAGTTGCTCCATCCACATTTTGACCTAAACAGTTGATATAGATGGAGAATAAAAGTGGAACTAAAACCACCATTTGAAATATTTAACCACTCGGAAGACAGCCCATCAAAGTGAACACATTGGGACCTTTCAGAGAGGTAGTTCACAAACCACCCCACTGCATGGCTGGATATGCCAATACTGGCCAGCCTCTGCTTCAAGATATGATGATCGACTGTATCGAAAGCTTTGGAAAGATCAATAAATAGAGCTGCACAACTCTGCTTATTGTCTAAGATACCCGCAATATCATTCACCACTTTCATTGTCGCAGTGATGGTGCTATGTTGCTTTCTGAAACCTGACTGATGTTTACATAGGATGTCATTTTTACATAAAAACACCTTTACCTGCTCACTCACTAGGCTTTCAAGAACCTTGGCCAGAACTGACCATTTAGAGATGGGCCTATAGTTATTTAATAAAGTGGCCTCCCCTCCTTTTAGTAGAGGAAATGATGGGTGATGGGTCTGTTAGTATTTTGTTGGCTTGCCTAAGAACAGTCATCTTAAATGCATTTTTTTAATAATCAAACTTCTCAACCTTTATTTTCAGAAAACAAGATTGACATTGGAAGTCCAGACGAGGTTCTCGTGGATGATCCTTATGAGATGTTCCAGTTGGCTGATCTTCTTGATGGAGTGTCAGTGGATTGTTCAGATCTCTCCTCACCAGGTATAGATAACTTCATTGTGATATACTGGATACCATTTTAAAAAAAACAAAAAACAATTGTGTTTCTCTCATCTCATTAATGAGAACCAACTTTGTATCTCAAACCCTATTAGATTGATAAGTAATTGATCTCTACAGAAAACAAGGCGTGTCCCTCAGACAGTGATGAAGAACTCCAGAAATTACAGAACAAGGATACGTTAACATCGGTTGGTTGACTATCTTCTTTGCCTCACCTTCTTTTTCTTTCCTCTGTTGTAATACATGTTATCTTCACCTCTCTTGCAGACACTGACGTCTAAGGCACAGATTTGCGTGGATCGGCACAGCCAGAGTCTGGATGATGTACGTCTGTTCCCACCTCCGGCACCCCTTGGGACCACACTGCCACCCGATTCCACCGTCAGCTATATGTTTGGCCTACCAGATGCCTCAATAAACACAAAGACCCCTGTTGACCACAGTTTGTACCCCCTTTTGCACTGCAAAGCTATACCTTCCTTCTATGGCCGCAGGTCTTCAAACTGCCTCTCCCTGGACATGTTAGGGGACGAACAGATCCTGGAATTCATTCTTTGAGACCTTGCTTGTCCTCCATTTACAAAGCAACTGAACTCGTAGGTTGGCAACACATGCATTTATGTGGTGATGATGACAACGTGGGATGTGTGTTTCAAATTTGAGTGAGACATTATGGAAAATTACGGGACCAATCATTCTTCTTTAAAAGCTTTGGATAAGAGAACAGAGATTTAATTCAGCAGCATTTAATTCAGTATAAATGGAGCATATTTATTAATTTTGTATATTTGTACATACTACCTGCACTGTTTTATTACATTTCAACTTTGCTGAGCAACAACATTTCCAAGCATTTAATTGTGTTTTATACGTTTTACATACTTTTTTTAAGGAATTGTCTGAATAGGTTAATGTCTGGTGCATAAAGTTCGTCATTATATATTTTTATGATTTAAAGGCCATACATTTGACATTCATAAAATGGGAATTACTCTTCCTTGAAACACTTTAAAACTTTTGGTAATGTTTGTGTATAACTTTATCCTGGTTTTTTTTAAATCATATTTTATAATATACTCTATTTTTGTACAGTGTGCTCTGTCATGCTTTTCCTTTTAGTCTGCCTTAGCAATGTAGCTGCCGAAGTGGAAAATTGAGCCTCTTTACAGCTGGTATTGCATTCATCCAAAGCTTTCCTATTATATACTCTCCCCTGTCATAATTACAACAGAAAGTACTCTTTGTAAAGCACTATTTCTGTAACCAGTGTATAATGAATCTGCAGTATTTTTCTATTTCTTTCTGTCATTTTTTTCTCTGACATTGTTTTGTAAAAGATAATAATTGGTATTCAAATAACTGATGTCATTAGCCACTTGGAAAGTTATTTAACACATACAAACTTCTCCGCAATGACTATAATGTATAAACAACTGTCAGTGTTGAGTCACAAAACTGAACAATTAATTATTTTTAAAAGCAATGTTTTTATAATGGTGAAAATAAAATGTCAACTAAAGAAACCACATGTCTTCAGTTGTGTTGTACTGTTTGTTAATTGTTTTAATTAGACACGCAGTTAATGTTATTTTAAAAAAAATGTTTTGTAAGTGTGGTGCGGGCAGAGATGTGATAGGTGGGTCGCGAATGGACGCGATGAACGGGAGATTTTTTATTTATTTTTTTAAATACATTTTTTGGACCTCAGGCCAGAATCGAACCTGGGTCCTCGCGGGCCGGAGACTCGCAACGGCGGTGTTTGCAGATGCGGTACTGGAAAATTGCACAATTTAAATCTATTCTAGTAGACCCCAACAATGGAAATGTGATCAGTAGAAATGGCCATGACATGGGACCTTTTAAAAGGGGAGTGATTAGTAAAATATGTATAAATAAAAAGAAAGAATGCTATAGGTAACATAAGATAAAAATAAACAAGTTTAAATGATTTGTTGTTGGTTGTGATCATATTCTAAAGATGTTTGGATTATTGAAAGGTATACAGCTCCCTTTCATGAGTGTTGAGAGCTGTATCCATAAATTCATTTTGTACTCAAAGTGCACCAGATTGATGCATTTAACTGCAACATTAAAATAAAATATGGTGCATGACCCCGGACCCCCCTAGACTAGAGGATGTGAGGTCCACCCCCAAATAAAGCAGGTTAAAATAATTACATTGAATACATTATCTTTTAGTAAACACTGAAAACGGGTCCCACAGACCCAAACAGCACACAAAGGTTAAAGGTAAGCATATAATAATGTTAAAATGTGCTAAATATACACTGCAACAACAAAAAAGAAAGAGTAAAAGTAGCTCACGACTTGTTTTATTTTTTGAAAGTAGCCCTCATCCTAAAAAAGGTTGGAGACCCCTGTTATAGAATGATACATTTGATCATTTTAAGCTTGGCCTACCATTTTATTGGAGCGATGAGGAACAGATGGGTCTTGAAAAGGCCCACATGTTCAAAGTGGGGAATGACAGAAAAAGTTTGAGAACCACTGCTTTAATGTCACTCACCTCTCGCGAGAGTTTTAAGTGACGTGTGCGGAAGTTTACATTCCGTTTGGTAAAAACGTGTCGCTCATGGGAGCTGTGAGAAAGCCGGTTGCGGGTTATCTTTAGCTCGCATGTTCCAGGCAGTTCAGCAGCCCTCTACAATGAATTCCGTTTTAATTAACGCGGTTTTGTCCAGCTCTCCTGACTACGACATGTTGTTTGAGTCTCTGAGCTGGCAGAGTGACTCATGGCCGGGGACGGAGCGAGTGGAGGCGCTGACAGCTTTCATAGAAGGGCTCGGACCACTCCTCATAGAAACCGACACTACTCCTTTTTCAGCTGCGAAAGTTACATCTATCAAGGATCAAATCGACTCGTTGGTTTTGACCAGGTGTTTACCTCTTCTCTGTAAAATATCAGCAGAAGCAGGTGAAGGTACGCGCTGCAGGGAGAGCACCGCTGCTGCCTGCCGACTCCTGAGTGTCTGTTTCCCGCTGTGCGACCGGGCGGTGCCGGGGCAGGTGGCTCTGTCTGTGCTGCAGTCGCTCCAGCCGTCAGAGGAGGAGGATCCGGGAAGACTCAATGTGGAGGTTGCCAGTGAAGTTATGGCTGCTTTAATACCTTCTCTGTCAGCAGATGAAAAGCTCACACTCACCATCCTGTCATCTGCTCTGTCCTGCATCAAAACACTCCCTGATGCACTGGTTTCTAAAATCACAGTCAGGCTTCTCTTAACTGTCCTGAAGTGCTGCAGCGGTGAAAGGCTATCCAGCATCCTTAAAGTGATCGTGGATGATCTGAGCAGCTGGCACTCATCTGACCGCACACCTGTGGTCACAGAGCGGGCACTGCTGTGTTTCACCGCCCTATCAGACCACCTGCTGAAACCTCACAGCCTCCCTGCCTCTTGCTCCTGTGATCCCGATCCTCGTCTGTCCCTCCAGTTCTGGAGGATGGTCCAGGATGGACTGACACACAGAGATAGCGTGTCACGTAAGAGGGCGTTGTACCTGCTAAAAATGTGCGTGGCCCTGTCAGAGGAGAAGAGGGAGGACTGTCCTCTGTATCCATCAGAGGAAGGTAAACGTCTCATATTTGCTTTAACAACATAGGGATTTTTGGGTTGTTTTCTCACTGTTTTTGAATTGGTTGCAGAAGACATGTTGTTCAAATGGGCCTCTAACAGGAGCAAGTTGCTCAGAGAGTTCTGGGAGGATTATGCACTGGTGATGGAGACCCTGGAGGAAAATCAGGTACAAAATCCCACATGAGTCTTTTTTCACTGCCAGTTCAGGTGTCATCAAAACAGCTTTGAAATATTGCCTTTCTCTGTTTCCTCTACAGATTCATGTTGTCCGGCCAGTTCTAAACAGAATAGACACGTTGATCCAAACAACAGTGAATAATAATCAAGGTTTGATCCAGTTTGATTTATTTAGATCTTATCCACCTCTTCTCAGTAATTGTATTTAATTTTAATTTTTAATTTCGAGCATCTCTGGATTGGTTTGGTTTGGATGTTGTGATGCAGCTGTTGTTAAAGAGTTGTATTATGAAAACCTCCCTTTTTCACTGCTTGTGCACAAACATTTGGGTACTTGGAATGTCTACCGAAAGACACAAAAAGATGGACATTGATTGATATGGGAGTTCTATTTGGCTTGGATCAGAAAATAATGCGATTTAACAAGACGTTCAGATTTTGTTCCTCATTCTATCTGATGCAGGATCATCAGAATATCTTGTAGTTTGTGCCTGTTGTCAGTGGTTTGTCTGTGATGCAGTTTCAGATCAGGGCTTCTTCCACCCGTCCTGGCTGCTGTGTGTGTACCAGCGGATGTTCCACAGCGAGAACAAATCATTGATGAGAGAGGGAGTGTTTCATCTGCTCGAGCTGCAGGTCCTCCAGCAGCCAGCCTTTGCTTTGGCCTTTTCTCAGGTACAGGCTCACACACTTTTTTAATGTCATTTAGGCTTATTCATTCAATTTTTGTTAAACGTGTCCTCTGCTGTTGCTGTGCTCCTCAGTTCATCGTTGGCCCTTTTATGAATGTTCTATCTGAAACGTCACTCTTCCAAAGGTGAGGGTTTAAAGATAGCCAATAAATGAAAGTAAGAATTACTGTGTTATTAAGGCCTCATTAACCCGCTTTATGTCCACATGTAGGTCACTTGGGCAAGGTGTAGGGGATTGTCCTGAGATCGGGGCTAAACTTCAAATCTTCATGGTCACCTTCTTCAGCAGCCTACCTTCAGAACATAGAGGTAAAACAGAAGCCGCAGAGAATACTTGGCCGTTTCTCAATCGCGAAAAAACACACGCTGCAGAGTGACTATTTCAAGTATACTACGTCATAGAGTGGCACAGAATGCTGGGCATTTAACATGCATTTAAACAGTCCTTCGGCGCCACTCGATGACTGAGTATACTTGAAATAGTTACTCTGCAGCAGTTTTACTCTTGATTGAGAAACGGCCCATGTTTACATAGCTCATTCACACTTCCCATGGTTAAAATGCCTGTCCTCCTCTGACCATTGTGTTTGTTTTGTAGGTCGTATTTTTCTGCAGATGATTCAGCAACTTTGCACGAAGCACTGGTGTGCAGCACCCCTCCTCTTCCTCTCCCAGGCGATATCCAAACTGCCCCCAAGTCCAATGCTGGCGGTCGACGGGCTCACTGCTCTCAGGTCTCTCATCATGATTAGTGTTAGTCAAAGTGAGTCCGAGCTGGTTGTGGTTGATATGGAAGCTCATTTAATCTGCTCTGTTTTACAGGGAGGTTCTGCACAGCACTATGATCACTCATCAGGTTCTGCTGAGAGGTGCTGCTCAGTGCTTCCTGCTGAATAGCGCCCTCTGTCTCACAGAAGTGGTAAGTCAAGGCTCAAATATTTTTGCATAATGCTAAACCAAACACTGAACTCACCTTAGAGCCGTTGTTTTGCATCGTAAGGGGATTCTGTTGTTTTGTACAACCTCTGCTTTCATATACAGCTTTAAAGTTAGTGAGCTGCATCATTAAAATATGTTGTTTCAGAGCGCAGTGACCCTCGATGATGTTTTTAGTTTCCTGACACATTTTCGTGCCGACGAGTCGCTGTGTAGAGGGACTCAAATGTGGAATCAGGTAAGCTGTAGCAGAGACGTTTGAAGGAACATTTGACTTAATATGTGGTAAAAAAATAAATGTCAGTCTTTTTGCTACCCTATATATTTGTGGCTGTAGACATGCACCTGGCTGTTGGACAATGAATGCAGTTTCAAGCCCAGGCTTATGGGTGGAGATTGCACTGGTGCTGCTACAAAGAAAGAAACTGTACGAGACTACGTTCAAAGCGAGATGCACACCTATCTCCGCGTACCAGCTAGCACAGGTAATTCAGAAGTGTGATAGAAAAGGGAAGGATTGTCTTTTTGTAGACATGTTGGTTGAAGTACCTTCCCTCTCCTCAGGTCACACTGAGAGGTTACCAGACTTCAGAGAGGCTGATAAGTTGGCCAGGGCCATTTTGCTGTGCGTAGACTTGGAGAGAAATCAACTTGGAGCAGAGTTCGGTAACACTCTGGAGTCATTACTGTCTCCGCTGCTCGACACCCTGAGCAGAGTCAGCACCAATATGTACCTGCCTCTGCGTAAGAGCGACAAGAGTCTGCAGCTCCTGCTCAGACTGTTCCAGCTGGGAGGAACACCGAGCTGTCAGGAAGCTGGAGAGGAGCAAGGTTTGTATTGACCATACTGATCAACTGTTATAGCAGTCAAATCCACCCTTATGGATATGCAGTAGGGACAGTGGATGGGTAGGTGTGTTCCTGCAGGGAATAACTGTAACATCTATTCTTACAACTAACATTCACTTGGTGCTCTATTGGGATTTAATATCACAATATTCTTTCAAACTCGTAAGCATTTATTTATTGGTGAAGCTAACTTAAATGTGGTACATTCTTTTTTGTTCTCAGTCAAAAGCGCATCTTTGTGCCTTCTGACATTTAAAGTAACATAATTATTTCAGGAATTGAGTGATCCTTGCTCTTTGGGGTGACTTGTTTTTCTTGAATCTTACACTGGGGTCAGTTTAAAGGGCAATACTTGTCCATTTATTCATTGATTAAATAACTTAAGATTGAATACTCTGGATTTAGTATCACATCATTTTAAACCCAGCTTGCATGCTTTCATTGTAATGTAGCTATTAGAACACATTTAAAAACCTAAAATACAAGAATGATCCAGATAATAAGCAAAATATGTCCCATTTTTAAATGTTATTAAATTGCTTTAAGTAGAATGTTTGTGGGTTGGGGGTCAAAGATGAATTGATTAACTCTTACTCTTTTTCACAGTGGATAACGTAATGCTTGCCATGGAGAGGCTCATTTTTAAACTTGTTGACCCAATCCAGGAGTTTATCCTGAGGAGGCTGCTGGGGGAGCTGCAAGAGGTAAACAGCGAGTCAAATAATTCACTGTCACTCCAACAAGCACATATTCCCCTATCGGCTAGCACTGCCATTTACATGTTCTGTTTCCCTCCCAGCTGGTTGACGTGGAGCGGGCAGAGTTGTATCTGTGTGTCCTGAGGCAGCTGGTGGTCATGTACAAGTCTACACCACAGCACCACAGTAACATTCAGCAGAACTATTTCCCTAAACTCATCAACAACAGCCTCAAGGTCCTGCAAGAGCCACACCAGCAGGTACAATGCTCAGGCAAGAATGTAATACATCTGTTTTGTTGCAGAATCTTTTAACTCTAAATTTTTCCCACACTGCCAGATCAATTCTGTGGCCAACCAGGTGGGACGAGCAGTTGCTATGGCATCTCTGGCTACAGTGTGTGGTCTCGGGGAGCAGGAAGTGATCGACATGCAATCAGAGACCATTTCTGCACTGAAATCACTGAACGACTACTTCTATAGTCCAGTGTCCACTTCCTGCCAACGCCAGTCCTCGCTGGGAAACTTCAATCAATGGCTGCAAAAACCACAGACAGGAGACGGCTCGAGGTCAGTGAAAATCTGCTTAGAGTACACGGTAAACCTTAAAATAAATGAAAGAACAGCATCAAATAGGAGGATATTGGGATTGAATATCATATACAGTACACGCAACAGCATAGCATAAGGTACAATCTCTTGTTTCCTTCAGTGATGGAGCGTTGCAGGGTCGTCTGCTGCAGGACTGGGGACGCATTGCTGCCAGTTTTTTGCGGGACCAGTGGATTTGTCTGAGCTTCCTGATTAAGGCTGTTGGGATTCCTGAGTCCATAGAAGTTTCCAGAGCGTCCGAGACACTCCAGGCTGCTCTGGGCTGCAGCGTGGAGGCCCTGGCTCTGCTGCCCAGTGACCTGGTGCTGCCTGCGCTCACCTTTATGGAGACTGTGCTGCCACAAGTGAGTCTCAGATGCATTTAGGTGAAATGTAAACAATTGAAATGGCGTGTTCGGGCTATAACAAGAGATTCCTTGCATTTATAATGTGAAGAATTTACCTAAAAAACTAAGGTAATATCTTTTGTTTGTTTTTGTAATTTAAATCTTTATTGTCACATTATGCATGGCAATAACATGCTGGTTACAACAACATTACAATCATGTAACAAAAGGCCAGCAATACAAAATAAAAATAAAAGGCAAGGGATATGTCTTCATGTTATTATATTCTTGAAGATACATGTATCTATTAGCTATTGTTCCAGTCAATGTCTTTTGTTTTGAGTCTTGTATAGAGTCAATTTTCCCCACTTTCTGTTGAGTTGTGTTTCTTGCAATCTCAATTTATAAGTCAGTTTTTCCATTAAAAAGATTTCTTCCACAATTGTTACCCATTGGTTTTTCGTTGGTGGTGCTTCCTTACCCCAATTCCTAGTGATAGCTTTCCTGCTAGATATTAGCAGAATTTTGATCAAATATTTGTCACTTGCAATAATGTCCTCAGTGTATTTACATAAATAGAGTACCAAGCAACTTTTAGAAACCTCATACCCAATTATTTGATGTATTCCCTTACATATCAAAAGGTAATATCTGTTTTAATGTCTGGTTTGCTTGTGTTTTGATCCCAGTTACTGCTAGATGAGGAGGCCCAGTGTGTAGAGGCTGTGAATCTGAGCTGGGATCTGGTTCAGGGCCTGAGCACTAACGCCCATGACTTCTGGCCGGCCCTGAAAGGCTTCGTCTCCATGGCCTTCCACCATAAACTGCTCGAGCTGACACACACTTCTGCTCCGACTCTCCTGTGCACCTTGAAACAGGTGATCAAAATCATGCTGGTTAACTTGGAAACAAAGTGTCTTGATTTCACTTGTATTTCACAGGGTTCTTACAGTCATTAAATACCTGGAAAAGTCATGGAAATTCAAAATGCTAATTCCAGGCCCTGGAAAAGTTATGGAAAACAATATTTTTCCCAAAGTTTTGGAAAAGTCATGGAAATGTAACTAAAGTTGCATCAAATATAATTTATATTTTATCTAATCGCCGAAATAGTAATAATATAACGATAATAAATACTGTGTCGTATAGTAATGAAACGTAAAATGGTATTTAACTGAGGAGGCATTTTGCTGTTGAGAGATTTTAGTTGCTTTAGCGTGTAGAAGCTAGTAAGCCTACTATTTGATTTGTTTTAGATAGGCACAACATGTTTCATATGCAGAGCTTATTTTCCTGTTCCATGTTAAAATAAACCATTTTCAGTCGTACCGCTGAGAAAGAGTAATTTTTTTGGTCATGGAAAATTAGGTCATGGAGAAGTCATGGAAAAGTCATTGAAAATCATTGGTGAAAAAGTGTATGAACCCTGATTTCAACATACATGTTTCTATAATACATGCATATATATTGGTTTTTAGATAGCCAGTGAGCTGATGGAGCTGTCCCAGTCAAAGAGCGGAGTGTTCGGTGTGCTGATTCAGCACTGCTGTCACACGTGGCTGCCCACAGGCGGAGGCAGCAGCCACACCGGGTTTTCTTCTGTGTTCAGCCACATCAATATAATCAGTGAGGCTTGTGTCTACGGACCAGTTTTCAGGAGAGATCAACGGTAACTTTTACAACTTTTCTCTGATTTGCACAATTGTTTGTCGGGACTTTTTTAATTATTTCCTCATGCTCTCTTTTAAAGTCTCATCCAGGATGTGCAAACGTATGTGGAGCAACTCGGTGAAGAGTGTTCTGCCAATGTTGCCGTTACAAGGTGAGCTTCAGTTCCCTTTGATGGCAGTTTGTGGAAATGTAGGGTTTTATGGCTGTGATTTAAGATTGTGCCACTAGATGTCTCTGTTGGTGTTTGGATGTTTTCACACTTAAGCCATTGCTTTTTTGAATTTTCCAGTGATAACAGAGATGATCAGTTGCCCCGCACATGTGTACTGGCTTTCCTCAGCCGCCTGGATTCCTCTAATCAGCAACACGAAAGACTGATGGAGGAACTAGTTATGGATTTGTTAAAAAGGGTAAGATGTAGATCAGTTTAGGTTGTGTCATGCAGTCGAATTGAGTGTCAAATAATATTTATTTTTATCTTTCATATCAATATTTTCTGATACAGAAAGTGAATGCAAAATCATATAAATAATGTAATTGATGCTCAACTCATCAACATAAAACTGTACTTTGCTTGAAATCATTCATTTGAAAAGAATCCGAATATATTCATAATATCACGAAATAATATGATATACAATATAACAAACAATATCACCTAAGCCCTAAGAATAGTTCCAAGGATCTATTTCCCATGTATCTACATTGTTGATCATGACATTTTCATATTGCACCCTAAAAATACATGTCTGATCCTCAATGAGATGTATCTGTTTCTACAGTGGTTACTATGTCAACAAATAATACTATGGCAACAGATAATTTTTGCGATATGATTTTGCATGTACATCCATTACAGCAAATTAAACAACAGTTTTCCATTATCTCCCCCCGTTCCACCCCCCTGTCCCATTTCCCCAGGATAATGACATATCAAAGTCAAAAGTACGTTACTATAGCAACTCCCTGCAACATCGTGTTAAAAACCGAGCATGGCAAACAATGCTGCTGTTGCTGCCCAAACTCAGAGAGGTAAGACAATTACCCTCACACTAACAATCTCACAGGAAATAACCACTCAGCAAGTAACTGTGTGTGTGTGTGTGTGTGTGTGTGTGTGTGTGTGTGTGTGTGTGTGTGTGTGTGTGTGTGTGTGTGTGTGTGTGTGTGTGTGTGTGTGTGTGTGTGTGTGTGTGTGTGTGTGTGTGTGTGTGTGTGTGTGTGTGTGTGTGTGTGTGTGTGTGTGTGTGTGTGTGTGTGTGTGTAGGAGTTTGTTGCCACTTTGCTGCACCATGTGTTTGAAGCTGGATTCTGCAGTAACCATGCCTCTGTCAAGTACCTGATCGAGTGGATGATGATTTTGATCCTCGTCCGCTATCCACAACACATGGATAGCTTTTGGGTCTGCTTCAACAGGGTGAGCTCCCACTCTGAAGACCAGAAACTGATGTGTTATGAGATAAATATTACAATTATTTACTGATTCCTTAAATACTTTTTTCTTTATATTCATAGTTCCACATTTGTTGGAACAATATATTTTCCCATGGTTCTGCTCAGACACCCATTCCTATTACTGTATTGCAGTATTGTTTAGTTATAAATATAAAAAAAAGAATCCGTACACATAAAATATGACGAATTGTGAGACACAAGGAGAGAAAAATACAATGAACTAAATAGACTAAAGGATAAAGTAACAATAGGCGCGTTCACACCGCAGTACTTTTCCCACTTTAGTTCATAGGAACTCTTTAGTTCTCGTGAACTATGTACAGATTGCGTTCACACCGGAATAAGTCCCTGGGGGTGGGTTAGGCAAATGAAGCCGCTGACGTCACTTCTTCTTCTTCTGCTTTGGGTTTACTGGCAGGCCGCAAACAACTTCACGGCGTATACTGCCGCCCAAAATCCCCGGCCAGAAGTCCCCGGAGTTGGGGACTGGCTTCTACTGCGTGGTTTGCAATCCGCCCAGCCAATCAGACATAGGAACCTTTTTCTCCCACGAAAGTACCTGCTCTCTAGCAGGGACTGAAAAGGGGGTAAAAAGGTTCTCATGAACTAATTTAGTTCCTGGGGCTTTTTGGTGTGAACGCAAATATATTGTAGTTCTGGTGAACTATTGTGGGATAAGTACTAATTTAATAAATAAGCCAACTATGTGCAGTTACATTTGGTGTCAGTAGTGCAATACTACATCGTAATATCAGGTGCGTCCATTTGTTCTTTATAGAATATATTTCTTTGTTTTCTGTATAGGATCACGAAAAGACCAAGACAAGCATCTGCACCTTCCTGTCAGTCCTGGTACATTTAAATGTCATCATTCCCACTCTTGAGGATGAGGTAAAGCCAGTGATGTTTTTCCCCGCTCACAATTTGTATTGCATCTTTTTCTGTGTATCTACAAGATCTCTGTTTCTGTGTTTTAGGATACACATTTGCGTAAAGCGCTGGACATCATCCTGCAGTGGTGTTTCAACCATAACTTCAGCGTGCGCCTGTATGCATTACTGGCCCTGAAGAGGGTGTGGAGCCTGGTGGGGGTCCGGGCAGAGGCAGTTTGGGGAGCGCTGTCCACTGTGATCAAGGCCTGTCTGAACCAGGCTGAGGCCATGCAGAGCACTGGGTGAGAGCAAAACACCTAAGACAATCAGAAACATTTGTTGTTGTAAATGTGCTAAAGAATTTGCTGTGTCACCATTTAGGAATGCCAACAAGAATTGGACGAGGATTCAGGAGCACTTCTTCTTCGGTGCCTTTCACCCTATCAGGGATTACAGTGTGGAGGTGGGCTAGTATGTTTCTTCTGAACAGATGAACCCTTCTAAAACACAGTCAGATGTTTTTATAACATTTTCTATTTTTGTGTTGCTTTCCCTAGACAATATTCCTCACATTCCCCAGTCTGTCGGAGTTGGCTGATGATGAGTGGATTCCCCTCTGGAAATTTGAGAAGCTCTCATGTTTTAATGAAAGTCCATCTTCTCTTTTGAGAAATCCTGCTCCTGACCTGAGCCAGCTCCAGCCTGGAGACTGGATCCAGCAAGACAAAGGTACAGTTAGTGGCACCTATCACAAGCCACAGGACCACCTGACACAACATACTTTAATCTAACCTCCATTCTGTTTGAGCTATCGTGGTGTTGTTTTCCCCAGGCGAGGAGAATAAGGAGGAGCGCTGGGCCGAGGTGCAGAAGAAGATCACTCCCTGGAGGCTGGGGATCCAAGAGCAGGAGCCTGAACTCCAGCTGGTTCCCCAGCAGAGGGCTGCTCGAGTGGGCAAACAGCATGGCGCCCTGCTGGTGGTAGCCTCACTTATCGACAAGCCCACCAATTTAGGAGGTCAGGAGCAGCACGACAAATTACACTCCTACCATTTTACAATACATTACATTGCATTTAGCTGACGCTTTTATCCAAAGCGACTTACAATAAGTACATTCGACCAGGAAGACACAACCTTGAAGAAAACAGAATCATATAAGCACATCAGGTTTCATAGAGCCAAACATTTCAAGTGCTACTCAACTGGCTTTAGGTAAGCCAGTCCTTTATTAGTATAAAAGTGCTTCGTTAATAGTTCTAACGCTCGAAGTGGAGTCGAAAGAGATGAGTTTTCAGTTTGCGCCGGAAGATGTGCAAGCTATCTGCCGTCCTGATGTCAATGGGGAGCTCATTCCACCATCCTGGAGCCAGGACAGCAAACCCACGTGTTTTCGCCGTTGGGAACTTGGGTCCCCCTCGCAGCGAGGGTGCAGCGAGTCGTTTGGCTGATGCAGAGCGTAGTGCACGCGCTGGGGTGTACGGTTTAACCATGTCCTGGATGTACGAAGGGCCAGATCCATTCGCAGCATGGTAAGCAAGTACCAGTGTCTTGAAGTGGATTCTAGCAGTTACCGGAAGCCAGTGAAGGGAGCGGAGGAGCGGAGTGGTGTGGGAGAATGTAGGAAGGTTGAAGACCAGACGAGCCGCTGCATTCTGGATGAGCTGCAGAGGTCGGATGGCACATGCAGGTAGACCAGCCAGGAGGGAGTTGCAGTAGTCTAGGCGTGAGATGACGAGAGCATGGACCAGAACCTGAGTCGCTTTCTGTGTCAGCTGGGGACGTATCTTCCTGATGTTGTAAAGCGTGTATCTGCAGCAACGGGTTGTAGCAGCGATGTTTGCAGTGAAGGACAGGTTGTTATCTAGGGTCACACCCAGATTCCTTGCAGTCTGAGTCGGGGAAACAACTGAGGTGCCAATGTTGATTGTTAGGTCAAGAGTGGGACAATCTTTTCCCGGGAGGAAGAGCAGCTCAGTCTTGTCAAGGTTGAGCTTGAGGTGGTGAGCAGACATCCACTGAGAGATGTCAGCTAGACAAGCAGAGATGCGTGCAACGACCTGGGTCTCTGAGCGGGGAAAGGACAGAATTAATTGGGTGTCGTCAGCGTAGCAGTGGTAAGAAAAACCATGCGGGCTAATGACTGATCCGAGCGAGTTTGTGTACAGGGAGAAGAGGAGGGGACCAAGAACAGAGCCCTGAGGGACCCCTGTAGTTAATTGACAAGGGTCGGACTCAGACCCTCTCCAAGTCACCCTGTAGGTACGGTCTTTCAGGTATGAGGTGAGGATGGAAAGTGCAGAGCCTGAAACTCCAAGTTTTTGGAGAGTGCGAAGGAGGATCTGATGATTCACCGTATCGAATGCAGCAGACAGGTCCAACAGGATGATGACAGAGGAGAGGGATGCAGTTTTGGCAGTTCCTCCGTGACAGCAATGAGAGCAGTTTCTGTGGAGTGACCTGCCTTGAAACCAGACTGGTGCGGATCCAGAAGGTTGTTCTCATGGAGATAACAGGAGAGTTGTTTAAAGACAGCGCATTCAAGTGATTTAGTCAGGAACGGGAGGAGAGAGACAGGCCTGTAGTTTATAACAACAGACGGGTTGAGAGTGGGTTTCTTTAGGAGAGGGTTTACTCTTGCCTCCTTGAGACTGTTTGGAAAGTGACCAGAAGTTAGAGAAGTGTTGATGAAATGGGTGAGAAACGGTAGAATATCAGGAGCGATAGTCTGAAGGAGGTTTGAAGGGATAGGGTCCAGAGGACAGGTGGTAGGGCGGGCAGAGGTAATGAGGGTAAGAACCTCACTTGGAGAGAGAGGGGAAAAGGAGGTTAGTGTGTTGGTGGAAGGAGGGTCTGGTGACCCAGCGGTGAGTAAAGGTGAGTCAGAAAAAGAAGAGCGAATATCATCAACCTTTTTTTCAAAGTGGGTAACAAAGTCGCTTGACAGAAGTAAGGAGGGGGGAGGGGCTTTTGGAGAGTCCAAGAGGGTGGAGAAGATGGAAAATAGTTTTTTAGGATTGGAATAGGAAGATTGGATCTTATCTTGAAAGAAAGTGCTTTTTGCCTGAGAGATCGAAGCAGAGAAAGAGGAGAGGAGAGCCTGATAGGTTAGGAGGTCGTCACGGTGTTTGGATTTCCACCATTTCCGCTCTGCTGCCCTAAGGACGGTTCTATTAGCACGCAGTGCATCATTTAGCCAGGGAGCAGGAGGGGACTGACGAGCCTGCCGAGATGTGAGAGGACAGAGCGAGTCCAGAGTGGATGAGAGAGTAGAGAGGAGAGTTTCTGCAGCAGAGTTTGGAGGCAGGAGTTGGAACGAGTCAGAGGAAGGGAGGGCTGAGAGCACCGATGAGGCAAAGGTAGAGGGGGAGAGGGAGCGAAGGTTACGGCGGACAAGTGCAGGATGAGAAGAGATTAGTTTGTTATGTTTGGAAAGGGGTAGAGAGAATGAAATGAAGAAGTGATCGGATGTGTGGAGCGGGTTTACAGAGAGGTTAGAAGTAGCGCAGTTCCTTGAGAATATGAGATCAAGGACATTGCCAGCTTTATGAGTCGGTGGGGACGGAGACAGTGAGAAAGCAAAGGCGGTTAACAGAGATGTTAGTTCGTCTATCTTCCCTGTCTGGAGGTTGAAGTCTCCGAGAAGTACAGCGGGAGGACCAGTTTCAGGGATGTGTGAGAGGAGATTATCTAATTCCTCCAAGAAGTCCCCCAAGGCGCCTGGTGGACGGTAGAGAACAACAATGGTTAACTGTATAGGATGGGTTACTGTGACGGCATGGAATTCAAAGGTGGAAGGAGTGAAGTTAGGTAGTTTGAAGAGGGAAAAGCTCCATTTGGGAGAGAGCAGGAGACCAGTGCCACCTCCTCTGCCAGTTGGTCTGGGTGTATGGGAGAAGGAATATGCAGTGGAGAGAGCTGCTGGGGTGGATGTGTTGGATGGAGTAATCCAGGTCTCAGTGAGAGCAAGGAAATCCAGAGACTGCAGGGAGGCGTAGCCAGAGATGAAGTCAGCCTTAGGAACAGCTGACAATTCCACAGGCCACCTGAAACTAGATGTTGGATCTCAGTGGAGCATGTGGGATAGACGAGAGCAGGCCGGTTATATCGATTACGAGATACACGGGGCCAGTGATAATTGCGAGAAGACACATGAACAGGAATGGAGAAAATACACATGATTATAGCATGAGGGGCTAAACAACCAAATAAAATAAAACATCAGCGATACTTAGCTCAATCAAAGTAGGATTTGCCTCCCTCGTGACTCCCGCAGGACTCTAATGTCTTTGACTCCCGCAGGACTCTAATGTATTTGCCAGTCTTAGCCTGTCTGACGCTGACGCTCCAGGAAAGTGCTACCTAAAATGGACACCTGATTGCTGAGTTCTCACAGCTGTGGGGCAACGTCCCTTTAATTAGTTAACTCTGCAGCTGGTGGCCCTCAAAAGGAAATCTAGACTGGCTTCCTCCTGATTTGTTATTGTCTTTTAAGTCAATTACATTAAACCCTAAGTTATAAAGTTATGAGTTTAACCCTTAATACAGTTACACCTACTCAATAAAGCTCTTAGTATTCTACAAATGTTTAAATCAAAGTTAACCCTAGCAGTCAGTTAGTTCACTTTTAAGGTTTCTGTCAAATTACTTGTCCCAAGTTTCTGCCTGACAGATACTGTAGCGGTTTTGAGTCTTAAAATCACAATTCCAGTCAGATCAACTACAGAGCATTGATACAGAGTACACACACTGAAACAGAGAAGTCTAAAAACACAATGTTACTCACACAATTCTAGAAGTCTCCAGTAGCTTTCCTGTCAAAATCGAGTTGCACACTCTCCTTCTTTAGCAGGAATGATATAAAATGTGAACTGATTGTGGTTTCAGGATGATGATCTGTGCAAAGATGTCAAACACAGCTCAGCTAAAACCAATGAATAGAGCCTTCTTATCAGAGATTAGACAGGGAGTGCCCAGCTTTAATCAGACACTCCTATTTTATGTTCTCCTCAAGTGTACTCTGATGCTTTTGTCTCTGATGATAAGGGCTTGAATCAATCACAATTTGTTTATTAAGGAAAAGACCCATTTTAAAAACCAATATTGATACTTCATGATTTGAGCAGGAACATAAGCTTGGCCGTTCTGTAAACGGTGTACTTGAAATTGGGCTCTCAATTGCTATTACAGGTGTTGGTTTTGTACATCAGTCTGTGTTCATGATCACAGCCATTTTTGCTAAATCATTACTCCCACAGATTATGTGAAAAAAGAAAGAAAAGGCCCCTTTACTCAAGGCAATTTAGAATGTAGGCAAAGTAGATAGATGTTACAGTAATGCATGTGTTTCTTTTTTGTTGCTCTAGGTCTTTGCAGGACCTGTGAGATCTTCGGTGCGAGCACTCTGGTTCTGGATAACCTCCGCCACGTCAGTGACAAGAACTTTCAGGCCCTGAGCGTCTCCTCTGAGCTGTGGCTTCCACTGTTAGAGGTAAAGTGCCATCTCACATTTCACTCCAGTGATCAGGATTACCACTCTGTCTTTAAGACAGATCCCCAGTGGACCTGTGAGCTGAGAAATGTGAGTTTCACCGGATGGCTCAGCATTTAAATGATCTTAGTCAAGGCAGAAAAGATGGATGTGCACAGAAAGGATGGATGCTAAAGCCAAAACATTAATGCACACCTTGGTGGTAATAAAGAGCATTCAACGAGGCGCATGCAAAATGTTCTTTTCACTTGAGCTTAACCCAGGATTTTTCTTTTATCCCCAATTTTCAGATTTATGGATCTAGTTTAGTATGACCAAAAATGACCCAAAAGTTCAACATATTTATTTATTTATTTGTTTATTCCACACATGGCAGTTATTTTAAAACCTAAACATGTACACTTTACACAGATTTGTTTTGTTGTTGTAGCCCATGGTGGAAAGGAGCAGGGAGAAGAACATCTTAATGAAAAAACTTAAACTTGAATCTCAAGGGAAACGGAAAAAAAAATAAACACATCTGTTTTTAAGTGCCAATGCATTCACCTATTTACTCGGTAACATAGGCAATAAAACCCTTTTTTCTGTGCATCAGGTAAAGCCACTGGAGCTCACTGACTTCCTGCAGGTGAAGAAGAGTGAGGGGTACTGTATTGTCGGAGTGGAGCAGACGGCCAACAGCCAGAGCCTCCAGGACTACCAGTTCCCTGAGAAGACTCTGCTACTCCTGGGGTATGAAAGCGTTAAATCTGAATGTTTCCATCAATGTGATAACCTGCACACAGCCAGTTGTGCATAAATGCATGCAGCCTTCTGTCTTCCCAGGCCCTTTGTGACTCACACTGATAAAGATGTGAGCTGACGAGGCTGTTTAATGTTATCTCAACGCTTTATTGTGTTTCCCTGGGGGGGGCCAGCGCCTCTCCTCTCCGTGGTGTTCCTGTCAGGGCATGCTGGACTGTAATTGGCTCTCCCTGAGGGAGAACAGGGGAAATACATTTACACAAACCAGCGCAAGCAGTGTGATGACATCAGCAGAGAAAAAAACCCATTATCTAGTGTAGTTTGAGTCACAATGCTGCCCTTTGGCTTTCATTAGTTAGGACACAATAATTACTCTTGTGAAACCATTTGTAGCTACTCATGAGCGAACTGTAATTGTATACTGCTGCAGTTTGCGTCAGAATCATGATTTACTCTCCCTACTAAATATACAGGTAGAGAGAGAGAGACATGAATATGCATCAGGTCTGTGTAGGTTGATGTTTTGTTTTACCCTGTTCACTCAGAGGTCTGAGTGGTGCTGTTAGTTTAAACTCCCCGTGTGTGAGCTCAATCTGGAGTGCTCTCTCCCAGCTGTGCTCTCCCCAGCACAGCATCGCCCGGCTCTAATCTCTCTCCAGGTCGCTATTATCTCACCCGGATGCACTCACTATAAATGTAGCTCATCAAATCGTGCTTTTTTTACTCTGTGCCACCCTCTGTGGACTCTTTAACGACAAACTCATTGCTTTGCATGGCCTTATATTGCTGGATCGCACTGTATACTCAGTTGATTACAGAATGTTACTGAGCTCATGAGTCATCTGAATGAAAAGCCCATTCCACATAATTGTGAGAATTATGATGGAAGTTAAGTTGGCCGCAAATTAGATCAGCTGGGTTGCCTCATAACAGCAAGTAAAGGCCAGAACAAATATGTATATTACACATCAAGGTTAAACTAAGAATACAGATGGTCTGAGGATTTATACAGATGTCAGGAAGTCAGTGTTGCCTTATCGCTGATTGGATGTACATTCCAATGTAAATCCTGCAGTGCAATTTATTTGTTTTAGAAATATGTTCTGTCCTCTGCTATTGAGAAAACAAGTTATGTAAGCTTCTGTTGAGCTTAGTCTGTATTTCAGTGGTGTTTATTCTATGCATTTGAATTATATTTTCTCTTTGATGAGAATCACATTTTAAAGGAATGGATAACTATTTTGGGGAATTCGCTTTATTCATTGCTTTTTCTGATTGTAGAATACAACAGATAAGAACACATAGATACCACTCACATGACAATATGATTCATATGTAGCTAGATCCACGGTCTGGTTAGCCTAGCTTAACATAAAGACCAAAAACACTTACATTTGTGGAAATTCTGTCAAAAGATAACAGTATACCCAGATCAGCTCTAAAACTCAGCAATTAACACTTTATACGTTTTAACATATTCTCATGTATATCTCACCGGTGATCCAATCGGCTTATTTAAAAAAAAGTATGATTACTTCAAAGAAATTGAATATACGAACTCTGTTGGACAGTCCAGACATTCACTCACAGCAAATTTTCCTGATACTTATATACTGGCATTCTACAGCATATTGTGTTTCCTCTTTTCTTACAGCAATGAACGAGAAGGTATCCCGGCCAATTTACTCCAAATGTTTGATGTGTGTGTGGAGATCCCTCAACAAGGGGTCACCCGTTCCCTCAATGTGCATGTGAGCGCTGCCCTGCTCATCTGGGAGTATACACGGCAACATCTCACCTCAGCTGAAGTCGACTCGAAACCAGAAAATTAAGAAGAATTCAGCACTGCAGACATATGAACTTGACATGTGACTACTACACACTGCCATTACCTGCTGCTCTCTGGTAACAAGGGCGTAAATCATCTTCAGAAACATGAAGATGCCAGGATTAGAGGATTCTTATTTTCTGTCTGAATAAGACTCTATCTTTTGAGAAGTGAATGTGGTCAGCAATCATCAGAGCTGGTCTTGTTCCTTAATGAGAGTCAGGAATACATTTTAAACTGTGGTTATTACATCTAAATATTCCACTGGGTATGCTGTGGAATATTTTTTTATATTAAAAGAGGCAGAATAGAAACAATCTGGCACCAGAAGTGGAATATAATGTCCATCCCAGGACACTACCATACATGATGTATATATGCTGCTTATGTGAATTGCCGTTTTTAATTTAAAATAACTGTTTTTGTACAGTTTAATAAATCCAACTTTGATATTTTAAGTTGTGTGTCTGTTTTTCTAAATGTATTGTGGTTAGAGATTGCATCAACAAAGGAAGCAGAAGGGGTTAATAAGGCACAGGAGGTGCTGTTCACCCTCCCTCCCATTAAAAGAGCAGAGGAGCTGGTTCACCTGGAGACCGTCCGAGCAGCAGATGGAGTTGAATCATTTCTTTTTCCGTCAAGTTTACGCTTTTGCGTGACTCATGATGTGAGGGTGGCAGCTGTCTTCGGGTGGGACATGGAGAACCTGGACGGCTACTGGTCGGTGCTCGTGCAGGCGGCCAACGCGAGCCAGGCAGAGGCTGCGGGATCCGGCCTGTCCGCGAGGACCCAGCTGCTGCTGGAGATCCTCATGGTGCTCATGTGTGTTGGAGCCGTAACAGGTAGGCCTACATCATTCAACTGCTGACTTTTAGATTTTATTTTTATAACAGCATCAACAAAATGTTACTGATGTTATCGCGCTCTACTTATTTAAAAACAATATCCCGCGTAAAGTTGCTGATAAGAAACGTATTGTTCGCAAAAGCACGTATCTAATAAAGAATGTTCCAGCACCTCCATTTAATGGTTGCATAATCATGCGTCAACTGATTTCAGATCAAATTCCTTTAATTTTACGGGACATATGTGTACTTTGACTAGTTTTAAGCCATTTATAAAAGGGATTTTCCGGGTTGCCAGGTTGTGAAATAAACCTTTGGCTGACATTTGCAGGGCTTTGTTTTGTAGTTCTGTATTCATAATACAAAGTATCTCTAATGGACTATTGCAATTGTGTTTATTGCTTAAATGTCAATGACATTTTAAACTAAATGGTTTATTTAAAAGTTAGACCCATTTTAGCCAAAATGGGTCTTACTTTTAAATCTCTCAAACTCATTTAAAAACTCATCAAGCCATGCAAAATGTATGACCATGCATTAATACATTTATTAAAATGTATGACTGCATGGCTTGATGAGTCATTACAATCTAAAATATCAGAAAATCTATGACCTTTTTATTGTTGACTTAGTCGACATTCAAAACTGTAAAACTGAAGGCTTTTGGAAAAGTAAGATCCATGAAAATGTAATAATAACAAATAAATATATGTAATGAGAATACATGTTGAATAAGTTTCCTTATTATGTACATTTACAATGCTTTAAGCTGTATCATGCTGTATTTTGGTGTCAGAAATATCATATGCCAATGCCTGAACAAATTAATATCTGTGTATATAGTTAGATGTTCATATTTAATTAAAGTTACTTGCATGACTGCTCTGTTAACTTACAACCATTAGCAGTGCTGTTCATAATTATAATTTATTTGTGTGGTTGTGTTGTTCAGACTCTTTAAATGTTTCATATTCAATTATTAAATCACATCACTTTTGCAGATAGAAAAAGATGGTTGTGTGGTCTACATCCACCCAGTCTGACCTCTGTGTCATTGTGTGTCTGTTGTATCTCTGTGTAGGTAATATTCTTGTCATTGTTATTGTGGCTGCAACCAAGACTCTCCACTCGGTGACATCAGTGCTGATTATGAACCTGGCCATCAGTGACCTCCTGGTGGGCGTCGGAGTGATGCCATTTGTTGCTTTGTCCATCGTAAACCGTGGATGGGAAAATTGTAATGTACGTCACCTCTGTCTAATACTATTTACATAACCTTAATCTGACCTCTTATGTCATAACACCTATTTTTATTTGAATCAGTGAGGCATGTGATAAGATCTCTCTCTCCTGTCTGACAGGACCTCTGCCTGTACGTGGGTTACACCTCCTCTGTGTACTGCACAGCTTCTGTTCTGACATTAGCAGCCATCGCCCTGGACCGCTACCACTCCATCATGGACTGCCTGCGCTACAACTCCCGCTGCACCGTGTGGAGGATCTGCGCTGTGGTCCTGTGGATCTGGCTGCAGGCTCTGGTCACCAGTTGTCCCCCCCTGCTGGGCTGGAGCTCCGTCAGCTATGTGGTTCCCATGTTCAGCTGTGCAGTCAACTGGAAGAGCAGTCCCAGCTACACTGCCTTCATGGCTGCTCTGTCCTACGTCATCCCGGCTGTGGTCATCCTCTTCTGCTACGTGAACATCGTCAAGGTGGCACGCAGCCATGCCAGGAGGATTCACACCCTGGAGGACTCTGTGCAGCGCAGCAGGAACTCTGCTTTTGATGGGGACTCATCAAATCACCAGCACTGTGGGAGTCTTCACAGCCCCTCCAGACTCATGTATCATGTGAGTGGGCAGTTTGTTTCTGAGGTCAGCAGAGAAGAGGGGACTTATATCAGCCCTGATGCTAACACAGAGCAGAATAACCCTTCATCAAGACGTTTGTTCTCCTTCCTGGCCCAGAGCGCCTCCCAGCCCCCGCTGCAGAACTCACAGCAGAACCAAAACCACCATGGATTGGTTCGTCTTTTTCTGGTTATCGCAGCCTTCTTCCTCTGCTGGACACCTTATATGGGCGTGGCCCTGGTTCAGGCCACAGAAACTGCAATATCAGGCCAGTCCAACCTCGTCCCCCCCACTGCGGTCACCTTTTCGTACTGGCTGGTGCTGCTGAACTCTGACATTAACCCACTGCTGTACGCTCTGCTCAGCAAACGCTTCCAGGGCGCTCTTCAGGGACTGAGGCAAAAAGTAAGAGCCCGATTGGGAAGTGTGGTGGGCAGGGGAGGAGGGGTCAGGGCAGAGGGGGAGGACGGCAGGAGTAGCGACCCCTGCACTCTGTCCACTACCCATCCTGGTCCAACTTCCAGCTCTGGTGATGACTCCAATTATTCTTCCGTTTTCACTGTCTGCACTGACTTCAAACATCACTCGGAAGAGCATCCATGCAAAGTGTGTCACCGTGAAAATACCCTTCCTTGTTGCTCTGTGTGGCAAGGTGCTGGTGGGGAGGGGAGGGTGGACTGCCTGCAGGTCCCCTCTCGGCCACAAGAGGGCAGCAGATTACCGTACTCCGCTCTAACCAAGGAGCGGCAGGCCACTTTCTTCTACGGACAGATTACAGTCAGAGTGGAGCATGATGTTTGTTAGAGTTAAAAACGCTGATGCTGTTCAACAATTACATATTTTTCTAAGTCAACTGTCAAATCATTTGGGCAATAAAATGTGACCATTTTTGAAAATATTAAAGCTATGATTTTTTTGACATTTTTTCTAAATAAAAGAATATTGGTTAATGGGTTATGAAAATAGTAGCTTATTATTTTTCTGTAATTCACCAAAATGATGAATCACTGAAGTCAGATGGAAAAACAATATAAAAAGGTATATTTACATTTCTAATGTTTTCTGCTCAACATTCAGAAACCCCAAAAGGTTAAGTTTGCTATCAGAGAATGAAAAGATGCACATTTACCCCATGTAAAAGCTAAATTCAGCTTATTTTTGCATTTTGCATTGAAATATGATGACAATTATCAAAATCAATGCAGATTGGTTTATATTGATTATTTAATCGGCTAATCGTTTGTGCTTCATTACTTCAAATATAACTTGTCATGTTGCCTTTGAACATTACTAGTGATCTGTAAGCACAGTATTACAACACTCCTGAGAAAACAAACCTGGACAGTGAAATGTATTGAAAAGAAATATTTTATATAGTACATGTGATTACACTTGAAGACACTCAACATTAGATTCAATTAACCCATCATTTATTGACGCTCTAGATATTTCTTCCTCAAATGTGATAATCATATGTTGCATCTCAGTGTAAAATGTATCATTCCTTACAAAGGTTTACATTAATGTCTAGCAATAATTCCAGAGGAATACAATATTATAAATTATTGTCATAGAGCATGACAATGGGAAACAGTGCTAATGTGTTGTATTGCAAAACAGAAAAGACAGTGAAGTGGACTTCAGCTGTATCTGCTTATACACTATGTGCATGCTCGTCCTGCAGATTTCACCCACTGTCCCCTCAACGTAAGTCTGCAAAAAATATAAAAAGTCCTGTACGATGAGTCAAGAGTTTGCTCCAAAAAAAACTGAGATGGGTACAAGGGTAGTATTAAAGAGTCTCTCTGCAGTGATCAGTGGTGGTTCTGTAGAAAGTAGATGGCACGTAGCGAGCATGTGTGGACGAGTGATGTTCATACATTCACAAGAAGGCAGAGGTTCCACCAGTCGCTTTACAAGGCGTGTGCCTCGGTCGCTCTGCGGTTTATCTCGCCTCAGAAGTGTGATTGATGGATACAGATACAATGTTTTATTTTTGAAAGAGCAGAGGTGGACACAAATGGGAGCCATTGTCATGTGTCAGCACACCTCTCCATAAACCACATTGAGACAGTTTTCATCCGTCTGTTATTTTCAGAGTTTTCTATAAAATGACACAATGAAATAATAATTTTCGCCGATTAGTTTATGTGCATATACGTCTGGAAATGTGATATGAATTCAAAGGGAGGCTAAGTGATAGCTATGGTTGGCGTTCAGAGTTATTAAAAGGGTAGTTCTAAGGGTGAGTCTTGTTTTATTATAAGCTGTTAGTGCTTTTAGTCCATCCAAAGATAAGTACCTGAAGCATTCATTGAGAAAATAGGACAGTTAGTAGTTTGAACAGCGAATATACGGTTCAAAAAACACATCTGAATATTATTTGGATGCCAATACATGTCCTGTAAATGTATGTGTATTGCTTGATTAGTAAACTGTTTATTGTCAGTAACTCTGCAACAGAAAATGCAAAGCAGGTGCTTTATGGATGGACTGAAAGCACAAATATGAACCATCTAACGCATTAAAAACTGGTTTTGGATCTCTTGTGCCTTAACTGTGGGCCTGAGCAATGAGTGTCAGCTTTGACAGAGGAGGGGTTAGCCCCAGGAAAGCATATGACCACAGGGGGCCAATCAGTGTGGTTAAATCGGACCTGACCTCTTTTCTCAGGATGAACAGAGACACACTTCTTCTCTGTCTCAGATTGATCCTCAGGTTTTCAGACAGGTCCTCACACCAGATGAGCCCATTGGGTCCACAGCTCACCGACATGAACGGTGTGACACAGCTACTGTATGTACAGTGCACCAAAGGCAGGTATTTGTCATAGAGTTTACACACAGTTGGCCTCCCTTTTTGTTTTCAGGCATTCAGCATTTTAGGCATTCATCTTTGGATCTTAAAGGTGTGTAAATGTTAAAGACAGCAAGTCCACACGGTGTTAGGCCTGCCTCCAAAAAGGTTGTTTTTTTGCTCGGAACTGATAATATCAGGCAAGTTGGCAAGTCTTCCCAGGTGCAAGGATGTAGAGAATCCATGGATTGACTAAGGTACAGCCAAATTAATACATGACTTAATCAGTTATACCTGATAATCTTTTGGGTTACAATAAACATTGTCCATGCACCAACTTTGACAACTTGTGAGTGGAAAGGACATCAAATGAATGATTCACACTCTGTGCTTCCTGCATCTCCCCCCTTGACCGAAGTGTTACTGATCAGAGGGCAGTCTAAAACACTTATTTCCATCCAGGGAGCTTCGTGAAAAAGAGGGCAGATCAAACGTCTTCAATGTGCAAATGTTGACATGGAGGTCCTGGCTCTCCCTCTCCAGTTGAGCCCGGTGGTGGCGCCCGCCTCAGCGCTGCCCTCAGCTGGCTCGTCTCTCTTGCGCAGCTTCGTGCTGAGCTGGATGATGCACTGGTCCCAGTCCTCCGGTAGCAGCAGCATGAGGAACCCCAGGCAGATGATGAACACAGCAATCAGGCGCACTGTGTTGAAATTAATTTCACACGTGTAGAGGTCCACCACTGTAAAATGAGAAGCACGTGTCAGTAAGAACATATGAAGAAATGTATACACATTGTCATTAAGGATAATAGTGATATTTGAAAAACAAATCACGATCATGTTAATAATACACACATGATCATTTACTGTTGGCAGACGTGAGGCCTTGTGGATCTTTTTTTGTTTTACTATCCATTACTGTCATTGTTCTTTTTGTACACTTTTATAAAGTTATGGTTACAGACTCTCTATTAACCTCACTAAACTTAAAACATTTTAAGAAATAAATTAGATGCATTGGTAAGATAAATATGACTGAAAGCCTTTTATTCCTTCAGATTTTCTACGGTTATTGCATTAATATGGTTATCGTTCATTATTTGGGCCACAATAATTGTGTAGTCAAGGTCTGATACTTTGATACCAATAACTTTAACTAACAAACAATAATTGATTGAAATAATGTCAACATTGCATATGCAGAATCTTATCTTACAGTTTACAATGATAAGAAAACAAATTTGAATGTAAGTTCTACTTTCCACCAAATATAGATGATACATTTTAGTGTGATTTCCTTTCTTTTTAAAATGGTGGCTGGTTTTAAAAAGTTAAGTCTGGGAGAAGAGCCAAGAGACTTACTGGCATTGACAGGAACACTTAGGACGATGCCAAGAGATATTAATGTTGGGTATGTTATCGCGACGCCAAAGTTCAACAGGACGTTGAAAGCTGTGGGAAGAAGCACAGAGTAGCAGCAGACAACAAAATGAGCTTATGAAATCATAAAACTTAAAAAAGGATATGTATGGATTGCATAATCAGTGCAGTATAAGATGTGTGCTTCATCTGTCATCTTTCCGTACCAAACATCAGGCCTGCAACCCCGCAGAAGCAAGCCCAGGGGATCTCTCCAGGTGAGTCAATGTACTCCACGTGAGTGAAATACAGGATGAGCGGCACGAAGCTGATGAAAACAAAGTTGGCGCTTCCAACGATGCTAAGAAAGAGTGCAGCCTCTCCGAATTTGGCACTGCCCAGGACCATCTTGAAGAGCACCTGAGGACATCAAGGGAGGAGGGTCATGAATGCATTGAACCCGCCCCCTTTAAGAGCAGAGGGATATTGCTTGCAGAGGGGTGCACCTGCCAACTAGCTGCCATGTTTTCTGGCAGCGGGCCGCGGCTGTCTGTGTATCACATTAGGCAACACAGACAGCAGGGCAGAGGAGACCAGAGCTCTGTCAAAATATATCTGACCCGAAACATCTTTGATCGGAACATAGCAGCCCAAGGCCGGTAACCAAACGCTCACATAACACCAGCTTCTGTCATCTGAGCCTTATTTCATAATCCCCTCCTGTCTTCTGCCACCTGGTTACATAAGCAGCAAGGAGCTAGTCCAGGATTTCTTATATAAGACATCACTATTCATACATACGTTTAGCTATTTTTACATGTTTTGATCCTTTGCAAATGAAGTCGAGGTTTATGGAAGGACATAAGGTTAGTGTCTTTACAAAGAAATACCTTATATAGCGCTGACATCGAAGCAGAGGCCACGACCAATGTGATGCCGATGACCGAGTGGCTGTGGAATCCGTCAGCGTAGGTCATCATGACAATGCCTGCTATGGCCAAGATAGCAGCTACTATCTGTGGAGAGGAGGAGGAACATCAGAGGATGACGGATGGGCAACACGCTGCTCGCAGTGAGGCGATAAAGACGCCCGAGCCTTTATCGCCGTGCAGGAACACAGCAGGCACACATGGCACATTGTGAATCACCGCAGAAGCATCACGGGACAAGGCTCATAATGATATCATTAGTTTTTATTTTATAGTCATCAGCAGACTGCTCATTTGGTGTTTACAGTGGCGGAATAATAGTACATAGAGTACAGAGTATTTATATTCAATGCTACTTAATAGGCTACTTGAACTCCACTTACAATCTGAAGAATATATACTTTTTACACCAGAAAATGTGTAAAATAGATGAAGCCAGGTTAAAAAGTAAAATGTTTTTACAGAGAGAATTTCTCTTTGTACCAGGAATCAGAAAATCCTGTCAATGGCAAACAGAAATTATAGTTTTTTTTTTAATGAAATGTTATATAAAATCAGGCTATGATTAATATATGAGCAGATCCCTCTGTAAAAACCTTTAAAACATAGATAGGGATGAACCTGGAGAGGTTGGTGTAAGTCAAGAGCTACTGAATTAAATGTTCCATTTATGTTTGCAATCTTGCTTTTTCTGTATTACAAATGCCTGTACTCTACTTTTAGTTAAGAACATTTTAAATGTAATGGATTTTCTTTTTTTATGCATACTGTATTGATATTTTAGTAGAGGATCATCTTCCACCTCTGAACAGAGCAAGCGTTCCAACACAGGACAGGCAGCTTTTTAGTGTTGGCTTGATTGTCTGCCATTGATTTTTGCTACACTGCCATCATGTTTACAGACCAATCCCCCCCACTTGATCCACCACCCCCCCCTCTCACGCCCACTTCCCGCTCCCTGCCTCCGAGATTGTCAGACCATCCAAACATCACCAGAGCATCAGTTTCATCCCGCTCTCAACCAGCCTTGAAGAATACAGACCGAAATCGTTCAACTATTAAACTTAGAGCATTTGTCTCTGAATGTGTGTGTGTTCGGCTAAAGAACAGCGTAAGGGACATGCCACAGACCAGTGGATTAGCCCTGCGTTAAAGAGGTGTCAGGAAGATAAATTAGCCGTGTGTTTTTGCTTTGCAAAAGTCCTTGGGCACCTCTGGAACAATGGCCCGTTCTGCAAGGCATGCTGCCCCATCAGTCAGTTCCTGTGACGGGTGCTTACAAGGTCAGCGCCCTCCATGTGTTTGTGCTTTAGTTTCTTGAAATGTTTCAGCACAATGTGAGGGTCAAAGGTGGAAAAAAACATTACGACACCTGCACATTGAGATAGGATTTGTATTAGTGTAGTAATAAGGACTAGGCTGAATCCTCTTATCCTTCCTTTACAACTGATACATCCAAATTCAAGGCACACATCAGCTCAAAAGCTCTTCGATTCATTTCATGACCTTCATCGTGACTTTGCCTCCAAACACAGACATCTTTATTTGTTTATATTACTTAAACAATTTAATATCGCTGTTCAGTAAAGATGATTTAGCATCCCCCGTCTTTCTCTCTCCCCTCCTTCACTTTCATGACAAAGTCGTCCAAGATCCCCTGCATTGCTGCAGACATTCTCAATCCCCACCACCAAGATGGAGAGGGAGGGAGAGAGAGAGAGAAGAATTACGAAGAGAAGGAGAGCTGAAGATGACTCGAGGAACGGCCGACGGCGACGAGAGATGACGATCGATTGAGGAGTGGACGAGGAGGAGAGACGATGAGACGACATCGAGAGTGAGACGACGAGATCTGAGCGAATGAGACTGAGACGGATGAAGAGAGAGAGGACGGAGAGGACGCAGACTAGGAGAGAGATAGGCACGACTGTGAGGACCGAGAGAGAGGAGAGAGAGAAGCTGGGGGTGTGAGAGAGCGAGAAGCAGGATTATTAAAGTACTTGTCTCTTACTGAGGCCTTTCATCGCAGATAATGGGGGTAGGGAGTTGGGGCACGCACGAGGGAGAGCCGGGTGGTGAGTGAGTGTAAAGGAGAATAAAAAGAAGAGGGGAAAGCCATTCTGCAGGATGGCTGCAGATATGAAAACATCTGAGGGGGCGGAGAGAGCAGGAGATTCCTCAATCCATAAAAGCTAAACCCTCACTCCTCTACTTCTTTCCAGCAATCCAGACACAATCAGTGACAAACACACACAGGAGGAACATTTGAATGACACAGCGATCACTGGTGGGAAATCACGTTGTCACACAGGTAACATGCTCTCTACTCTCTACCATTTTTTTCAACCCTTTGGGAGCTATATACACGGAGGTTTTGGCATTATAAGTGATCTTTAGTTAAAAATAGAGTTGATAGATACACAACATTTGAATCCAGACTCCACCATTAATGCCGAGAGGAAATTCTGGACCTCTTTCTGAGAGGCGAGATAAGAAGCCTTAAGGCAAATGAAGGTCATCTCGTCCTATCCAGCATATATACAGCAAGCCTTTACCTGACAATTTCGTAGGTTATTGGACAATATTGACTCATCAAAGATTTAATGCAAATAATAATATAAGCACAGACACATACACAACAATATTCAACATTTTGTCTTGATCAGTGTCACACCGTTGATGGTCATGACCTTTCCAATGTGTCATTAGATTAACCTGAGGGTTGACTAGGCGAAACAAAGTCGATATTTGGTTGACATACTGTACATTTAAAAAGAAAAACAATATTGTGGCACTGGCCAAGCTTAAATCCCAGCCATGTTTGAGACTTTTATTGTTAGGGAAAACAAGGATGATCAGACACTCAATTAAAATATATTATCACTTCCTGTTGTAGCCATTACATTATGCAAATGACTGTCTCTACAGTTGCTTGTTTTGTTTGTTATTATGTTGTTTGTTACGGGTAGAGGTTCCTACAGGTGATGCCAGGAGAGCAAAACATGTTTAACTTGCTGTTTGTGACCTTTGCTTGACTCTATATACACACAAATACAAGCAGGTGTACTCACCCTGACCCCCATGAAGCGGTCTCTAAGTACAATCCAAGACAGCAGGAAGACGAAGGCCTTGTTACAACAGAAGAGCGCCGAGGCGTCTGTTGTGTTGATCTTCCTGAGGGCCTGCAGGTACAGGTAGTTGGTGAGGATCCACAGCAGGCCAAAGGGAGCCACCTTGGTGAAAAACACCTTGGGTGTAAGCCCGTCATCCCCGAAAAACCTACAGCACTCCCTGCAGAAAGATGATGCAGAGGCTCAGTGTTAGAATATTGGAAATCTAATATAATTGACTTGATTAATGTTATAACGGACTGGGACTTTGATCAATATTTATGAACACAAACAGCTCTCTGTGAACAAATGATACCAGAGAGACCAAAGACTTTAATCAGTGATGAGAGTGTGAAATATTTCCTAATTTCAAAAATAAATAAAAGCGAACTAAACATGTCATCGCAGTGCATGTGGGAACAGGAGAATTAAGTCAATATTAACAAATATAATTGGATCTGCCACAAGGCATTAAAGTTAAATATGTCTGAAACTAACTTTTATATGACTCGTCTTTGCCAGTTGTAAGCTCAAACATATCAATATATTTTAAGTACATAAAGGACCTACATAGTATTGTTGTATATTTGAGGCACATTGTTGATGACTAAGTATACAGTATAACAATATACATATATGAGACTTTATTATATATAACTGAGAAACAACAATAAACAGTCAAACTGGTGATATGTTGTGGTCTTGAAGAAGTGATTTAACTTAATGTGCTGTACGTAGTTTAGTTCCAGCTTCAGCCTGGAATTAATCCCTGCCTGGAAAAGTCTGAACCACCCACAAGAAGATGTACATTTCAAATAATGAAATGGATGAACATGTCCTTAAATAAAAGCAGACATTCTTAAGCTTCAGCCTGACATTCAATATTTTACACTGTGTAACGAGAAGGATGAACCAAAGCGTGACATTAGGTATCAGTATTAAAATACTTCTTTGTGGTCATGTTCTCTCCATCACTATTTTTGAACTGTTCCACCCAATAAGACGTTCTGCTGCATCACTCTGCTGTGATGCCAAGAAGAACTCCCGCCCTCCCTACCTTAGTCAAACTATAAGATGAATGTGTTTTTGACATTTTGATTGTGCTTTTGAGTTACACCGTTTACGTTGCTGTGAGGGTGATGAAGCAGCAAAAACTGGAGGAGTGACAGGCTGGAAACTGTGGAGCAGCATTGTTATGAATCAGATCCAGGAAGCTGAGTCAACAGTAAAACACACTCCCCCTTTACACACTGATTCAGTGACAATCACATCAAAGTATATCATCATTTCATTGCAGACACTAGATACGCCACTTTTAAATCACGACCACTGACAGTTTGTGGCTTTGTTTCTGCCGTACTGTTGCACTCATGAGACCCGTAATCTGCATTGATTTTGGAAACTCTACAACTGTGCTGAGGACGGTAATCTAGCTTCTAGCAGATCATAAAGTCACAGCTACACTTTATATAAAGAGATAGGACAGCTATTACAAATGTCAACTCCTACTCTACATTTCTCAGCTTGGTGTGAAAATCCTCAGCACATCCAGTGTGGTTACAGCTGCAGGCAGCGATAACGGGTCCTAACACATCCATGGGAGTCGGGGGTACTGGTGGGACATCCATGGATGCTGCCGTGCATCTCTCTGATGGGCGAACATTGCAAGTAAACATAAGTTTCTGTATGGAGTGTAATGCACTGGAAAATACATATGGAATCTTGTTCGCCTCCTTTGTATGCTATGTGGCGCTTGAGAACACAATGTTTCTCTGTGTTGACAACACAAATGACTTTCTTTGTCTGCGTCAACAACATAATGTCATTTTCATGTCAATCTGATGATGTTTCTCACAGGCTGACTTCCTGCTGCCAGTATGTGTTGCTATGAAAAGACAATAAGATTTATAGACTGGTAGATTGATGCATCAACCAAATGGGCTAATTGATGAACTTGATCTAATGGACCAATCAAATGATAGGATTCCAATGGCCCAATCAAATTGCTCAATCTAACTGGCCAAGCAAATCATTACCATTACACCCTGTTCCTCTAAATCCCAGATATCTTTCCCAGTTTAAGCTCGTATCCACTGACACCCTGTGAGTTTTTGAGATTGATTGTAAAACGTTACTTTTCAAATAAAGGCATTTTTTCAAAGGAAATGTAGAGACCTCTGACCACAGACTCCTGGCTGCTTGTGCTTGACTCTGGAACAGCTCCTTTTCAGAGAAGCCAAATCAAACCCTATTTGCATTATTTGTCTCACTTTGTAGGTTATTATTTCTCATGTGTTATATATCATCTCTGTTTAAAGTGAAATGTAAGAATATTGTAATTGCTCCTCACCTGAATCTCTGTCTGGGCGTCTGCCTCTCTGGACTCTTACACAGATGGCCGATGTAGTAGAGTGGGAAGAAGAGGGAGTTCCAGCTGGTGGCAAACCAGGTGAGGGTGAAGGGGGCGTCGAACTGCTTAAAGGTCAGCTTGGCCAGCTGGGTGGAGCCTGCCCAGGAGGAGCATACACACATCACCATGGCGACTCCCCACAGGGCCTTGCTCACCTGTACGGTTGTTACTCTGATGCAGCAGTGCAGCTTCCGTTTGCTGGAGCTCGACTCTGCTCCGGCCACAACGCCTGCGGCCTGTGTGTCTGTGGGGCCCACCACACTGTCCCTGATGTGGTCTTCTCCTAAAAGACGGACACATGCATGTTAGTGTGACAGAAAAACACAGATAACTAAAACAAATCTAAATCAGGGTGATTTATTTCTGTATTCCTTCAGCAGAGGGAGTTATCCTTTAGAGTTATCAAATTAACCATTTTCAAACCCATTTCAACAAAAAATATATTATTAATTATCAATGTATTTATTATATTTCTTCCAAGTTGTCATGTTTGAAATATGGTTTAGCTTTATACTGTACATGTACTGTACATGTGTAGGAATTACTTGAATATCTCTTGCAGTACATCTGGTTTGAGAGCTTTTACAGCATTTTCTTCTCTGTGAATGACTTCAGGTCACCCATGTCTTGCTGTCTTTTTCTGGCTAAAAATAGCTTCTGTCACAGTTTAATTGAACTTGAAGGTAATCAATCAGACATCTGAGTAAAAAATGTGGTTATCAAGTGTGACAGGCTGCAGCCAAACAGAGGACAAAAGAGGGCATATCTGACATCCAATCCAAGACGACCTCTTCTCTACCTCGTGAGTTACAATGACGTGTGTGTGTGTGTGTGTGTGTGTGTGTGTGTGTGTGTGTGTGTGTGTGTGTGTGTGTGTGTGTGTGTGTGTGTGTGTGTGTGTGTGTGTGTGTGTGTGTGTGTGTGTGTGTTTGCCAGAGCATGCACCGCCTAACTTGGCTATTGCTCCTGTCAGAACCTGATAGCTCCCATACTTCTTCAATAATTGTGTGAATTGAAGCAAATAACTGATGTGCTGTTTTCTGTCCAACTCACCCACACCCTCCATGCTTTAAAGATGATTCACTTACCAAGGCCATGTTGTTACCTTGAGTCATTGAACATACTTATGGATGCATGGCTTATTTTCTCGTTTAAACAATTCAGTTTAAGCTGTGTTACTGTAACAAGTGTGCAGAAGCATAAAAGCTATAAAGCTCAATGCAACAATAGATACATCATTCGTTCAGCAGATCTGTATGCAGACAGCCTACCTGAGACTACCCAACTCTCAGTGATATTTAGTATTGATCAAATGAACATAACTTGGCAACAACAAAGATCCCTGACACTATTATTATGAGTAGCCTCAATAAATCATTTTATTTGAGCCTAACAAACCCTACAGCTCTACTGTCACCACTGAAAACAAAACTATGAAGCAACACATTCACAATCAGGGCAGAGAGGGGACAGCACAGCCAACAACAAGCCAGACATATTTAACATGGACCATGTATCCTGCCCTCCAACAAGTTAAAATGGAGGGATCTCCCTAATGGTGCTTTCAGGGGTAATGATGTGCCGCAGGGAGCCTTTTGCCTTTTTATCAGCACTGTACACTTCTGCCTGGAATACAAAATGTGCTTCAAAAAGCCTTTGCCGGACAAGCATAATTCTAACAGTTACACTGTGAAAAATAAGACATTAAACTCATATTATTTCACTTATCCTGTGTCAGCTTATTGCCATAAACCTGGCACTTGTCTGCCTTTATGTTAATATGATCTGTGAAGTCAAAGGGCCACTTATTGTTTTATATGAAAGTTTGCTACGTATTTTGTTAAATAGCTCTATTCATGGTCGTTCATCATGACCGATGAGAAACTCATTCTTCCTGGAGATGCCTCTGACCTTGCCAGGTGGTCCTATTAAATCACAGATTAACATCCCTGATCACTCTATCGCCCCCCATGCTAATGCCCCGGCTTCCCCTGGCTCTCTGTGATGCAATTAAGATGAAATTATGCTCCACTATTTGGGCATGGTGAAAAATGCTTTCTACTCCTGAAAAAAGTAGTTGACAGTTCCGAGACAGATGTGGCAGCAATGAAAGAGGATTCAAGATCATTGTCTGTTCCTGCAACAAAATGGTGAATCAGCAAAGACCAAAGAAAAAGAGACGCATGAGGATGTCTGTCAAAGTCTTGGGTACAAGGGTGAGAGTTAAGTTTCTCTATTCTGAGCCTCAGAGCCTCCATGTCTTTCTGAAGGTCATGTCTCGATCACGCTGCCCAGTCTGTCCTTCCTGGGCCACCGTCCCACATCCTGTGGCCCTGGCCCACTGCTGCTTACTGCAGCACAGTTTAATCTTCCAAATGCAGTGATGGGCCAAGCCAATCAGCTCATAGAGAAGCACTGAGGCCCAGCTAAGCATTTCCAGCTCTGGCATATGTGAACACACTTTGTGAAGTGTTATGACAACATTAAGCGTTTAGTATTCCACTCACACTCCAATTAGGCTGTTAGCATGATAGAACAAATACATTCTCTCTTTTATTAAATGAAACACATTTGTATAAATTAGTAATCAAAGCTTCTATGATCTATGCAGAGGCATCAATTTATATCCATTTGTTATCCACTGACGTGCTGACTCAGGGATTTGAAGCCAACACAGTACCTCCTTGAGCCTGACGGTGACTAATGATACTGTGTCAACCTTCACTGCTGGTGATGAACAATATGGAGCACCGCTGAACTCATCAGTGAGAGAGCTGGGTCAGTAGAGTGGCTGACTGAGGTTTGAAGGCTCCTTCACTAATGTCACTTGAAGCCATACCATGACTAAAAGAGTCTCCTTATGTAATTGGTAAATGATTCACTGAAAGCTCTTTACTTTATCAGTTCCTCATCAAATGTCATCTGTCAAGGTCAGACATAGCTGTGGTGAAAGGCCTGCAATGCAATATTTGGTTTGATTAGATGCAGTTTTTAAAATATCTTAAAAATGCAATTCAATACTAAAACAGATTTAGATTTGGTTTTGTTTGAGATTACTGTACAAGTGAAAACATCTAAACTTATTCACCAAAGTGTATGTCCAGTTGTGCTTAACTGAACCTAACATGCATCTGTGAAATCACTTTAGACAGGAAGAAAGTGTGTGGAGTCCTTGTAGGAGCTGCTTTGGATCCACTCTGACAGCTGTCTTCTTCTTAAATGCATTCATCCCAACCAACCACTCAGCTGTACTCATGCTTGGAACACCATGGAATTTAATATGCACAGGTAAAAGTGGACTCAAGAGTAAAACTAAAATGTTAAAAAAAGATTTCGCTACCAAAGTAAAAAGGGCTTATTTATGCTTTTGGTGCCAAATGCCCGAATGGAGATTGGAAAAAGGGCTAAAACGAAGCCATTCTACCTCTAAAGCCAGATTTCCCTTTGCCCATCATGGCCTTGTTTCTCTCATGTAGGAGACTAGACAATTCAGCAGAATACCAAGGATTATCTCGTCCCTTCACTCTAAATGTACGAAGAGGTGCATGTCTATCAATCATTTCCATAAAACCAAGATAAAAATAAGACATCAGCACACAGATCGATTTTACCCCAATCAAAGCCAAACAGATCATGTACAAAACCCTGCTCCACAAAATGTTTTGTGTCTCTTTTTATTATTAATGCTTTCAAATCCAAAATATAATAATTAGAGGCAGTTTTCTTTAGATGTCAATCTTTTTATTGACCCGGTTAGGTAGTTTTGTTGTATGACAAAACGTACCCTTTAAAATAATTGTTTAGATTGGAGTTTCAATTCCAATTGGCTTTATCAGGGCGGTGGTGGCGAAGTCCATAGGGACTTGGCTTGGCAACTTGGAAGGTCACTAGTTCAAGTCCCGGAAAGACCAAGTGCTACCGAGGTGTCCCTGAGCAAGGCACCGTTCCCTACACTGCTCCCCGGGTGCTGTACATAATGGCAGCACTCCTAACACTAGGATGGGTGAAATGCAGAGAAACCGTTTCGTTACATAGTACCTGTAGGCCTACTACGTAATGACAATAAGTTAAATTGTAGTTTTTTTGTTGTCTACTGTTTTGTTTTGTTTGTGTAGATATGTACTCTGTTTATTATGTTTTTGCCAGGTCTGCCTTAAAATGTTGACAGAAAGGATAATACATCCCCACTTTGTATTCATCACAGCAAAGTATTCAATTCATACTTAATCAACAATATAGGGGAAAAATCACCCTTGCATCTCTGTGAAAAGCTGTTGACAAATCAGTCTCTTCACCACTCTTGGCACAGTAGATCAATCTCGACCTTATATGCTCCTTTGTCTGCCTATAGTGTGTTAGTTCGCTGAGCACATGGGGAGAGTATTAATTACACATCCCACTTCCAGAAGGTGATGTAGCACTCCTATTGGTGTTGAGATTTATCTGGCCGGTTTTCCAGTTTCTCTCCCACCACAGGCCATGCCTCCCCACCAGCGCTTTTCCCACTCCCGCTCTCCTCCCTCCCCCTGCAGACTCTGCAGTGCAGATCTCTCCTGCTGATAGCGGCAAATCCCAAATGTGCCAGCATAGCTCTGCCTGGCTGCCTGCTCTCCCACGTCACAGAAGAGAGGCCCAGAAAGCCCAGCTATGGCTTCCAGAACCACCACCACTCACTCTCTTTGCTGACCCGATACCCACACAGCAAGAAACCACATCCCAGCAGGCTACAACAAGCTGGCGTTGGTTAAGCCGGGTGGCCGCACAGCTGTCGAGAGTCTTCACTGGGACCTGGTGTTGGAGACGCTGAGGTAAGAGAGGTTTGGACAGACACTTCTGTGGGAGAGAGAGAGGTCTGCAGCGCTCTGCCTCAGTGAATCAGAAAGGTAAACAGATCAATCACCGATACACACTTCAGAGAAACTCTTCTCCTGCCTCATGGGTCTCTGCTTTGTGATGAATATGAATTGACTGGTGCAACTTACTCATTCTGTCATTCTCATAATCAATTGTTATTCCATGCTTATTTATAACATCAAACATAAGTTTATGTCTGGGTGTAAGACATTAACTCAAACTTAATTCTAATGGCACCTATACAAATGTGAAGGTTTGTGACGCCAGCGACGTACACAAAGGGCATCAACTCTAAGGGGGGGAATAAATCCCCGGTTGATCCCTAGGAACACTTCAAACTCAACCTTTATTTAGACTTTTGCTACACCTCGGTTCAGTTTAGTGACTGCATCTTGCACAGTTGCAACTCTATGATAGTGACAAAAATAT